AGACAGACAGACAGAAATAGATATAAGACTCGTTTCTGCTTCTTTAATGTATAAAACGTAAAAATTATCCTAAAAATATATAATTCTGAGCAATATACAGACAAAACTCTAATTTTATTTGTATAGATAAAACAATTTATTATTATTTTTGTCTTAGTCTAACACATTTAAAATGTTAGAGCTATCATTGTCAGAAAAAACAATAGTTTTTAGAAAAAAATAATACTAGGGTAGTAATTAATTAATTAAACCTTTATTAATAAAAATCAAGATAATGAAGCTAGTACTAGGGTTCAAATATAGTACTGAAAGTTAGCCGCCCTCCCCCACCGAGGTCCCATGGTGTAATGGTTAGCACTCTGGACTCTGAATCCAGCGATCCGAGTTCAAATCTCGGTGGGACCTTAAACTTTTTGTCAACGCTTTCTGCATGAAACCACTTTATATTACTTAATTTTAAATTAATTAATAAACGAATATCCAAGTACGATGGGGAATACGATTTTTACAATAAATAGAAACTTAGAAAGCTCATAGGTACACAATGGGGTAATAGAGATGAAATTTATTTATTAATTTTGCCAGTGGCAAGAACTAGAAGATTGAATTATTCGTTACCTTTTTTGCTAGCCTTTGCCCTTGTTTCCTTAAATTTATTTCACCACGGTGTGTGGCATCTTCAGGTAGAGGTTCTATTATATTTACATAATATAATATATAGCAGTTACCCGGCGCGCGCGTTGCTGCGCTACAACTATTGTTAGCAATTTGTTCTCTACGATGGTGTCCTACTATTTGCCACCAGTGTCGTTTGCCACCAGTGTCATTTGCCACCAGTAGGGTCAGTTCCTGGAATTCCCGCCGTGGCCGTCATAACCATGTAGATGTACTTATAATTTTTTGGATATTAAATAAATGTTTATAACTCCAGTTACAACTGTGAATTGTGAAAATTAATTTTACCATCTTGTTCGGCAAAAGAAAACGCACATTTTGAGTCCAAAATCACATAATCGCAAGTTAAACAGTATAGGCCTATCTATGTTAAGGTATTTTAAGCTATTTGAATATTCCTTACATGGCCTAAGATTAGATAAATAATACAAAAATAACATTTGGCGCAGTATACAACGCATCAATGAGATTAAATCCCATTAAAATACTTGAAAAGACGCAGTTTCAGTGTTTAGTATTCTGCGAATATACAGGGTGAAGAACTTAAATGTACCACCTTTGCAATCTCAGAAACTATTCGATTTAGAGAAAACATTATATGGGGAATTTCAACTACTATCTTATGACATTAAAAAATATGAATTCTCTTCCTTTAAAGTCTGATATTTTCAATATTTAACTTAAAAATTTCTTATCGGACACCTTGTATTTTATGACGATTTTAGACTGTAATTTTAAAAATGTTTTCAGTTTAATTTTTTCTATAAAGCTACGTAAAGGAGTTACAACGTGTACAATTTAGAATAAAGTAGCTTTTGGTTACATTCATCATGATATAGCTCCTAAACGAGTAAGTTTGGAGAAAAAGTGCAAAGAATAAATTATAAATGTTTTAAAATTACATATACATTCTAAAAAGATCATAAAATATATTGAAATTATTCCTTTGAGACGTTAGGTTCATGTAACAGTTATGGGATAAACAACAGACCTAAAAACGAAGTTCTTAGGTTGAAGTTCTTTGGAAAGAATCCTTCATGTCGGGATTATGTTGTGTAAAATTCTGCCTGATAACTTCTTAAAATTAAGCAACTAAAAACATTTATGTTAACCAAGTCCGTCTATCGTCTAAATTAATTTGTTGATTGAATGTGGTTTTATTTAGTACGTTATTAGTTTACATTTTTATTTAGCCGCTTTAGATATAGTTTGTATTAAAGATTAATTTAACTGTGATGTCATTCTTGTGAAATATGCACCTACTTATATATAATTCAACATTGAAAATGTTTGTACAACTAAATCTAGAGTTCTACTGGACCGATTTATTAATTAGTGGGTCATTGGAAAGCTTAATTCATGTAGATTTGCAAATAATTATGAACGTTTTAAGCGAATAAATAAATAAATAAATTAGACTAACACTTTGCAAAACTTGGTGAGAACAGCACTAACTATGTTGTAACACACTACAAAACCACAGATGGGAATGAGCGTTTCCGTCATGTATTTCCCTACTCCTAGAGAGAGTGTTGGAATTGTTACCATAAAAATGTTGCAAGAGTGTGAATTATAGGTACTCCTTGGTCCATCGGCCGGTGCCTAGAGGGGTGATGACCCACGGACTAGGGTTGGGGCTGATGACTCACCCAGCCAGGTATAAAGTGGTGGCTAATGACACAAATCCTAGAGTGGTGGCAAATGACACTGGTGGCAAATAACACATATTCCTCTACGATAAATAATAAAAATGTATACCGAAAACAAAAATAGAATATTTATTTTACTTAATTGCCAATGGATAAACAATGTTTTTTGTTTTTTCATTAGGTGTATAAATATATAAGTTTTTAGGCGTACCTACCACCACGTGAGCACGCAACATACAGCTGTCCGTGTGAAAAGCATGCATTATTTTCTAAATTTAAACCGGTGATAGTCAGGGAGTGCCCTTGTGCCCTATAATGGCCGGATTGCGAAAGCAAGACGCAAAGGAAATTGTAGTAGCTTGAATTCAAAGGGTAATTCGAATGAAATCATCGGTTTTCTTGGGATTAAGACTATTTCTCCTTACTGATTATTGTTGCTTCGATCAAGTTTGGTGTCATTTTTGAACTATAAAAAATAGAACTATAGGACCAGGGACTGATTTACTTTTTCGTTTTGAGGTCACTAGAGACCAAAAACAACATCCGTTCAAATTCATATATAAAATACAGTATATATATGAGTCCGTTAGCGCGATAACTCGAGCAAAAATCATCCGATTTTGATGAAATTTGGTACAAACGTGTTAACCTACGTTTATTCGAACGAGTTCGCGAACCAGCATGATCGGACTATGGGAACAGGGGTTTATGGGGGAATGGGGCAAAAATAGGGTTTTCTCATTTTTGACCCTAAAAACATAAAATTTAGCATTTTCATTCCAAACCATTTTGTAGAGATAAAAAAAACAAATAATTTAGTATATTGAAGCGTTATTATGCGCCTATTGGTTACGGAGAAAATTCAAAAAATTGTAAATTTAAAACTCCAATGTTATTCTTATGGAAAATAAGTAAACTGTTGTGTTTTTCTTGTTTATGATCATATTTTGAAAATGCATTCATTTCATACTAAACTATTAACATTTTACAAAAACACCTTTTTACCCACCCTGTTGCAGCAAACCTAACTCGTCAAACTAATGTTATTTAAATAAGGAATAAATGTGATATTTATAAGGAGACATTTTAGTGTAAATCCAATCAGGCAAATGGAAATTCGCTTAGTCTGCAGGTTTGCTGCGGCGGGGGTATAATTACAGTTGATGGGTTAATGAATGGCAAATTGGGAGGCATTTGAATACCTGAAATAGCACGCACGATTATTATTCACTTAATAATTTATATTATTGTGTAGGTATAGAACAAAATATAAAAATATTAATAATAAAATAAGCAGTTACCTTGTTCAATATCCTTTGGTGCTGTTTGATGACGACCGGTTTCGTGACGACAATCACATCATCAGGTCAATCCTCGTAGAACGATTCGTTAATACATTAAGTTTTTACGGAACACAAGACGAAAACACATTGTATTTACAAGATATTTACACACAGAAACCATCGCGATGCGTGCACGCTTATGTCGAGCCGGCCGCGACTGGAGTTCCGTCGAAGGTCAAGGTATAAGCGTAAGTATAAGACATAAGCGTGCACGCATCGCGATGGTTTCTGTGTGTAAATATCTTGTAAATACAATGTGTTTTCGTCTTGTGTTCCGTAAAAACTTTATGTATTAACGAATCGTTCTACGAGGATTGACCTGATGATGTGATTGTCGTCACGAAACCGGTCGTCATCAAACAGCACCAAAGGATATTGAACAAGGTAACTGCTTATTTTATTATTAAAATTTTCAATATCCAGTAGTAGGAAAATGAACTCTGATAAAAATATTAAGCCATTGCCATTCTTTTGGCGAATTTCCCATAGGGAATAAGCTTTTACCGTAGTACTCATGGTGAGACCAGGGCCCGGGACCAATTTACTTTCTCGTTTTGAGGTCCCTAAAGGCCAAAAACAACATCCCTTCAAATATGTGTGATATATATTATGTGTCCATTAGCACGATAACTTGAGCAAAAATGATCCGATTTTGATGAAATTTGTAAAGTGTACACCTACATTTATTCGAACGAGTTCGCGAACCAACCCAGGATGATCGGACTGGAAACGGGGTTTTATGGGATAAACAAATTGGCTTTCCCATTTTTGACCCATAAAACATAAAATTTCGCAATTTCTTTTTCAAACCATAGGCCTATTATTTAGAAAATGAATACAGTATTCAGAATACTTTTCACATGGACAGCTGCTGTTATGTTATGTTGCGTACTCACGTGGTTGGTAGCCTAGTGACTTGGGCTTGGGCCACAGAAAACATACTACTATAACCACTTGGTTATAGAAGAATGTTTTCTGTGCTTGGGCGGGCGCACACTGATCCAGCATTTAACCTGAAGCTAAATTTGCACAACGATTTGCTTGAAGCGTTTTGTTTCTTTGCTTCTCCAGTGTGCGGGAGGTTCAAGCATGGTTCAGCTTTTGGTTTCAAGCAAAAATAAGTATTATTTGTACTGGTCCTTTGCAGTATTGTTTTAACATTGTCAGGATCATTTAATAAAGTCACGGACAGTTGGGAATAGTTTCAAACCATCAAAAAGCAACTGACTTTTTCAGGATCGAACGGCAGTCTTCTGATTACTATGCAAGCATACAATATACAACACAAAAAGTAGCTTTTACAGCTCAAAACTAATGCATTCCTTTTTTCCAGGCTATAAACGCTATCCCAGCATGACAACCTCCAACTGCAAACTCATCTTCCACGCCACGAAGTCTACGACTCCAACAACTCAGAGGTGGCTTCATCAGTGATCACCATACATCGTAGATGTTCACTACAGATGAATACACAACATGTGCCTACTTAGACTCTATTACAAAGTGTTCAAGAAACCGAAGCAGGGAAGATGTTAATACCCGTGAGAGAATGGAAAGTGTGTGTTCATTGGACGCTGTTTTTCAATAAGCAATTATTTTTATTATTATTAGTGAATCTTTTGTTTACTCAAGTAAACGCCAACAGACCACCAAAGTTTTTGATTGACGGGCAAACGGAAATCGTCCTGAGGTTGAAGGAAGGCTCAGACACCCCTGCTGGTAAGTTTTTATATTTTTATCGAAATGATGTAAAAGGTTGTGATAATCATGAGTTATTAGCAAATAATTAAATATAAACTTATTAGCAAATAATTAAATATAAACTAGTGTACCTGTTGCTCGAAATCGAGCAATTGTAAAGTACCGGTATTATACATAAGTTATTTTAAAACTACAGTAATAACAGTCATAATTTTCGATGAGTTTAAAAGACCCGACAAAATGCTTATGTAACTAATTGAAATACTCGCACTATTTAATAGCGCTTTGAAATAATAAACGCTTCTTGTAAAAATATTTTTGCACTTTTTGGACTCGGCCTAATTTTTTAGTGTTTTCTACAAATGTTTCCCGACTTAAAAGCTGTTGCCAGTAAATATTTCTTGCATGTATTTATTTGATCTGACTTGACGTAGGCTTACTTTACCACTGTGACAACTGATAACATGATGTGTATATTCTTCAATGTTTTTTTTTCTTACAAAATAAGTTGCTTAGCATAACTGGCAAAAATGATGATTGTGTACCTGGATTCCTTACTGTGAGACCAGGTCTCTCCTCTACTCTTCTCATACGCATAGATTTCCTATTAATTGTCTCATCCTCCTGTTTTCAAAATTTCTCCTTTAAACTTAAGAAATTGTCTGTTCTTCCAACAAAACTGATTGACTGTTTAGATTTGTCTATAACCTCCTAAATATTACAAACATCAATATTTACTCCCAAAAAACTGGTGAGTTTAATTTTATATACAGCTGTTTTTGTTTTTAAATTTGTTTTCAATGTAATTCTTATGCGGGAAAATGTGACCTTTGAGAGCGTCTCGTGCCCTTAAGGGTAAGAGTTTTAAAATTCTAAAACCTTTATGCAAAACTACGAATTGAGACGAATTATTTGACACCTCAAACGTTAAAATCGGTCCAGAAATAAAGGAGGAGTTTTGTTCACAAAAAACAGCCCTCACGTATTAATATAAGAGATAATACATTTGTTTGAAAACTAGTATTTTTGTATAATAGTTGCAGCTGTGACAATAGTAGATAAATGCACTCTAATTCCCAGGAAATAAACTACAGTATAAACTACAATTGAAAAGTATTATAAACAAAAAAAGTACTACTGTATTATAGTTAAGGGTAGATTTAAAGATTTAGGTAGATTTAAAGACATAATATAATTTTGATACTTATGTTTGGTAAATTTCATATTTTAAATCGTAGCCTCTGCCCCTTTTTAGTAACTTTGTTTTCGTAATGATTTAACTTTCCTTCTCCCTGGAATATTTCCTAGATTGGTTGCCAGGAAGTTTAAAACTAGGTGGTACCCCTTTTCATGAAGAATTTTAAATTAGGGTTAAACACACTCTGTTCAAATTCATCCGCCTACCCCAGACTGTGTGACGCAAAACTCTGGGGGGGATAAACAGGTACAGTATTCACCAAAGTCACCCTATTAAAACGGCTGACCCCTGTTAAAAAATAGAACCAGTCACACTCAAATTTCTTCCCCGGAGTACTCAGAAGGATCCGAGAAAAAATCCAGGGGTCGATACGAAGTTGTCACGGAATGTTTATAGCTGCAGACTTAAAGAGTTTATACTAAAGTTTCATAAAAATATCTCTAAGGTAAGGGCTTTTGAGTTAGTTATAAATATAAAAAAATACAAAATGGCGGATTATGACTAAACTAAGCAGAAATCGGAAAAAGTTATTCTACAATTTCGACTTATTTTTGCATGTAGAATCTGAATAATAGCCCGCTACGCTTTACTGAAACAATCTGTATTGATAGTTAGATAATCTTGTCTTGATGCATCAAGTAAGTATACACAAGCTTGAAGTTTGAGTTTGAAGTAAAATCCTCTGATTCCAGTTCGGTCTACGGTAGTTTAAGGATTTATAGTCAATGGTAGTACCATTTGGTGGTAGTACAACAAAAGGTACGGTCGAGGCTTACGCGCGCTCAAGCGGCGAACTTAAGTACTATAAGGGCCGGCGCGCACTATCCCGACCACGACCACGACCACGACTCCGACTGGTCGGATACGACCAGTTTTATAATAGGAATAAATGGAACAGCGCGCACTGGTCGACTGGTCGGACCCTGGTCGGGCCCTGGTCGCACGACCAAAATTTTCCAGTTTGGTCGGGCCCGACCCGCTGGTCGTTGCAGCCAAAAATACCACACAATGTAATGGGACGACGCGCACTACCCCCGACTTGCCTCCGACCCGACCAGTACACCACTCAACCCCCAGTATTCCTAGATCAATCAAACGGTAAGCACTAGTTTTTTGCGCCGGTCTGTGAAGTGACTCATTTGATAAAATGTCGCAGGATTTTGACACTTTTGAAACCTGTCTTCATATTGACGTAGCTCTTCATAAAATGTTGCAAAATGCCCTTTCAGACCTAACAGTTAACATTGGATATACCCAGTATAGTGTCTTCTTCCGCTTAACGTTACTTACAATACAAATGCACCATAACAACTACTTCTTCAACAATCATCTTGACACTGAAGTTTGTAAAACATTCGTTGCCTTGGTCGGGTCGTGGTCGGATCGTGCTCTGGTCGCATGGTGAATGACAACCACTGGTCGGGCGTTTGGTCGTGGTCGTGGTCGTGGTCGGGATAGTGCGCGCCCGGCCTAAGCTAAACAGCTGATCGAAAATTCACTTGTTGAGCGATGAGCCGGTTCTAGTTTCGTCTGTCGTCTGTCAACAAACAAACAAACACCAGTTTGCCAGTTTGGGTTACGTCTAGTCTAGCAACTACGACTTAAGCTTGAAGGTTATGAAACTATGAAAACAATATTACATTGCGTACTCAAGGCGTGCGTACTTACCTAAAACTGAAGGTAGGTAATTTGTGTAATTGTGCTGGAACCTGTAAACGGAACATAGCCTATACTGAGTTTGGGGTTATGTTGATGTTGTGTTGCCATCGGCGTTAATATTGGTAAAATCGGTCGGTTTAGCTTTATTTGATGAATTGGCGTGCTATTACTGATAAATATGTCGTGTGAGTGTGCGTAGGCTATGTACTTCACTGTGATTAAAACTTGGCCTACGTTCTTCGGCCCATATATTGGATATAAATACCCTATCGGTATAAAGCACATCAAACACAGCTTATCGTTGGCATTCTAACTTAACATAACTATACTGTAGTAATTTTTTCCATTTCTTGAAAACAAAATCCTGCAAGTGACTTCCTTGCCCTACTTGACATTCCTTTTTAGTCACTTGAAAACTCCATCAAATACTCCTCCATAATTTCTTCAGGAATAACCTTAGTTTTTGGACAATTCTTATCTATGGTTCAAGCAAATCTGTGGGACGACTTTGAAAAGCCTCGAACTTCAAGTAGGTAGCTTATTAGAATAACCCCTCGATCCCCCCCCCCCCAAAAATAGCCAATATAAAGCTTTCAACAACAAAAGCTTCCTGGCAAATCCCTTTGGACTTTGAGTTACTGTGACTCACACTCTTTCAACATTTGCTGGTGTACAATGAGTTTTGCGGCACCCAAAGCAAAAGGTTTCTTTTAAAGTTTTAAGCTGTTATCCTAAATAATTTTACCCAGTTAACCATTGTTTTCCAATCTGGAACAGCGCCATGTTTACCAAGAGGATGGAATGTGGTCCAAACAATCTCTGGGTTTTTGCACAAGAATCACTATTTTAAATATAGCCACATCAAAATCTCAGTAGTGTTAATAGCCTCAGGCATAATGTTTACTAAAATGGGATGGTTTAATTGATGTTATAAGCACAGCTGTTCATTCATTGTTGCTTTACTTATAGTGTGACGACGAAAGAAAATTAGGGTGCTCTCACTGCCTCACTTTGTATATAGTAAATGCACTCTTAGGCAACATTCATAAAGTAGGTACTGAAATTATTTTACCAAATAAATTGTAAAAAGTATGATGACTAACAAATATTACTGTCCTCTTTTTAATGCTTGTCATTGTGAGGTGGAACATGTTAATCCTTCCTCAAAACAAAAGTGTTACATATCTTTAAAAAGGCTTGAATCTAAGATGTGAAAAATGAAAACATTTTATTTTTAGTAAAATTCTCTTTTGAACCATTAAGCTGCTCATATTTTGTAGTGTATTAAGCCCATTCCCCATCACTTTAATTTGAGAAAGATCCACCAAAATTCTTCCCCAACACAAGATATTTGGAAACAGACTTCCACTAAACTTATTTAGTATCAAATTATTTATAGAATTAGTATTTCTTGGATTGGATGTGATTAAAACCGAATTCCACCAAAGATCAAAATATGTTACATTCTGTTTCTTATTTTCAAAACTATATAGCCTACTCTAACAAGATATTATTTGTTAATCATCGCGGTAGAGTTGGGACTGGTCCAGAAATTTGATGTAGGCTAATTAAATTATTCCGATTAACAGAGTGTGATATTACTTTTCAGGTAGTTTAATATACAGACTGAGAGGTGTGGACCCAGATGGAGATACACTGACTTTTGGAGTGAGAGAGCAGATTGGTCATGATATCCTGCGTATCGAGGGTGTTGGAGTCAATGAAGCTAATGTATATCTCAAGAAGGAGCTGGACAGAGAGGTGAATATGTCTCATGAGAAGATCCTTTTAGGGATTGTCATACTCAAACTCAATTGGCTGATGGTAAATTTTAAAGCCATTTCTCTTTGATGGCTTTGGACCAGCTGCAGCCAATGTTAACTCAATGAGATTATAAATAGAAATAGTTAATAAAATTTTCAACCAGGATGTGATTGAGCCATGCGAACAAGCTCATCTTGAAAATGAACAAGCATTTGACATAAAACCACATTAGGACAAGACGACGTCTGTCGGGCCAGCTAGTAGTTAATAAAACAAGCCTGTCATAGAGTATGATACATTGAAGTTTTTTTCTCCATAGGTTTTTTTCGGTTGTTCGTAAAGTAACAGGGGCAAGATGTTATAGCTTGCAATAAGTTGGTATTTAGTCTGGCATGATTATAAAGTTGATTCATAAGAAAGAAGGTTGTTGTATTTAACAAAAATAAGTAGGTAGTATCATAGACTAACCAACACAAGTAGACTTCTCATCCCATTGTAAATTTTGAAGCTCGTTTTTCATGTCTAGTTCATGTACGCCACACTGGGCGCTAGAGTCAACGAAATTTTGTTTATATTATTTTAGGGTTAATTTTTTGATTTGTGCTTTACTGTTTGGTTAAATAACTACGGGACAATTTATTGTTTATGATTAGATCGTATTATTTGGTTAAACGAGGTTTTAAATGACTGTATTAACGGGAAATAAATTGTAAACAAAACACGACCTCTAACATAAACCGTACAGAACTAACAATAAAATTGTCTTCAGCTGTTCCATTAGGATGAGAAATCTACTAAGGGAGTAGGCATATGTTTTAAATTATCTATGGTAGTATAAATCACCACACCCTGTTGGTGGCTCCAATTCATATATATGATGTCTTGTTCTATCTATGTCCAAAGATAAGACATATTCGGTAAGAATGATGTAAATACAGATGAGCATATAATTAAAATCAATTAAACCATACCTGAGGTGGCAGGAGGAGATTTTAAACAGTGAGAACTCTTACATCAAAACTACTGGATACCAAAATATCTTCAAAACTTAAAAAAAAAAACTATTTTTTATTTTTTTAAATTAGAGTGGTTATGTTTACATACGCTTATGCAAGCTCAATATAAAATCAAATATAACTCAAAATAACTAACTTACTAAAACTTTAAATCTCCATTAACTGTGATGTCATACCATGGCAAGTCATAGGATCGCATACAATTCTGGATCCCTTAATTTAAGGAAGTTACTCAGGCAAGTTGGGTTATGCAATCGCATAAAATTAACCTCTTAATGAAATGAAGCACTCACTTGATGTTACACGAGCCATAAAAAGTAGGTTGTGACCGTATGACATTAGCCAGGTTTTCCACATCCCTGGTTATGAGTGTGTGCGCTGCTAAAACAATTCACACGCCAGTCGCACTACTGTCAACATATTCTTTGTTTCAAAATCTTTTTCTTACATAATTTTTATTATTTTTTTGAGTACAAGGATCTTGGTATAAAAAAAGTGCTTGATTAGCATATGATATGTGTTGTGCTATATTAAAAGATGTCTTCAAATACAACTCAAAGTATTTGCAAACTTATATGTACAGTTGTTATATTGAAGGATATTTGTATGGAGCCTGATGGACATTTCGCCATTTATGTGCACACCTATATGTAGCAAAAAATAAAATTAAAAAAAAAATTGTTGGAAGAGCCACTTACTCAGTGTGCTACGCTCTAAATTTTATTTCTTACTTTTGTTACTATGAAAGTAGGTATGAAATAAAAATACCCCCGCCGCAGCAAACCTGCAGACTAAGCGAAATTCCATTTCCCTGAATGGATTTACACTAAAATGTCTCCTTAAAAATATCACATTTATTCCCTATTTAAATAGAATCAGTTTTACACATACTTAGGTTTGCTGCAACAGGGAGGGTAAAAGTGTTTTTTATGTAAAATGTTAATAGTTAGTAAAAAATAAAAACATTTTCCAAATTTCAGCAAAATATGTTTATAAACAAGCAAACTACAACAGTTTACTTATTCTCCATAAGAATAACATGGGAATTTTAAATCTACAATTTTTTGAAATTTTCTCCGTAACCATTAGGCACATTATAACGCTTCAATATACTAAATAATTTGTTTTTTTAAGCTCTACAAAATAGTTTAGAAAGAAATTGCAAAATTTTTTGTTTTTTGGGTCAAAAATGGGAAAAACCCATACCCCATAAAAGTCCCCATAAACCCCCGTTCCCATGGTCCGATCATGCTGGTTCGCGAACTCGTTCAAATAAACGTAGGTTTACACGTTTGTACCAAATTTCATCAAAATCGGATCATTTTTGCTCAAGATGAATATATGAATTTGCATATATGAATTTGAACGGATGGTGTTTTTGGCCTCTAGGGACCTCAAAACGAAAAAAAAATCGGTCCCGGGTCCAGGTCTTACCGTGAGTACTACGGTAATAGCTTATTCCCTATATGGGAAATTCACTAAAAACATAAAATATGCTATATTATTTTGTACAATTAGTTGTCTTTTCAGTTTGGCTTGTTTTAAAAGTTGGAAGTTTGACAGATCAGTACTTTACACCGGTGCAATCTATCCAGGGCCAAATATATATTTTTAAAACTGTACACAACTTTTTACATGGGAATGGGAAGTGAACTTCTGTCATTAGTAAAAAATAACATATTATATTATTATAAATTTAATAGTTTAACAAATCTAGAATGTCTAATAACTTTTAGTGAAGATTAAACTCGACTACTTCTCACATCTGTATCACCTCAGGTGCGGGATGAGTACGCGCTGGTGTTGACACTGACAGACGGCCATCTTGGTGAGGGCAACTTCATCACCCAGAGTCTGCTGTTGCTGGTGGAGGATGTCAATGACAACGAGCCAATCTTCCGACCGTACCAGAGCTCCCTGGTGGTGCGGGAGGACAGCGGCCCTGGGATACTTACCACCGTCGAGGCCACTGATCTGGACGAGGGGCCGTACGGACAGGTGTGCCAACTTAAGTTGTTTAGCCATGATTCTGATATCAGAGAATTTTTGCTGCGGTAAAATGAATACAATTTAAGGTTTTGCCGAATTGGTCAGTACCTAAGGTGTAGTCACACACATTATTGCCTTACACTATGTGTGTTTTTAATTGATTAATTAATCATTTTTAGGGGGTGTGGGTTTACGGTAGAGGGTGCCAAAAAACAAAACAAACATCGTGTAGAGACATGGCATCAAAGATAGCAATCACTACATACAGTAGAACCCCTCATATCCGGCCTTGGTTTTACCGGTCCTCTGTTTATCCGGCCCCTTCCAGGAAGCCAATATCAATTTTTTTTCTCAGCTTACAGACGTTTAGAAGTAAGCACTAGGCTTTGTGACTGCTCAAGTCATAACATAAATAGTTCTCATTATTTATCTGTTTGTTTATACATTTATTTGCTGAGTCACTATACTCAGTTGAGCTAGTAGACCTAACCTCTTATCAGTTGGTTGATTATTTCCAAAGTGGGGTTAGTACTGTACAGTACGAGTACATTAATTCTGGTATTTCACAAATTGGTTAAGAATGTTGAGTAGAAATGCATGTACCATTTTAGTGCTAATGATCTTTACATACAAATTATTGTCATTTTTACCTCCATTTAATAGGTTTTGTTACATGGAATCATAATATTTACATTCATTACTTAATGACTTTAACCTACAAACACTTTTTTCTTTTTACAAACATGTTTATTTTTCTAAAAATGATCCCAGAACAGAATTAAATGATACTTTTGATTGCATATATTGATTACCTATTATTATTAGGTATGAATTGTCATTTTCCCTAGGTTGGTTTATCCGGCCAAATCGTTATCCGGTCAGGGACTTGGTCCCGTGGTGGCCGGATATGAGGAGTTCTACTGTAATTATAGTTATGAGGTGGGGATGTATTGCAGTTGTATTTAAATCCAAATATGAATGCAAGATGATTTTTAGATGCCCTATGTAGTTTTTCTACCTACTAAGATTAGCTATTTATTTAGCCAGGGCCATTTATTGAAATTTCACTGATAAAGGACAGCTGGGCCCAGTTTTAAACAATAAACACCCTTTTATTGACAACCAAGCATGTTTGAATGCAGTTGTAAATTAAAGATTAAGCATGATATGAACAAGGAGTGTACGTATGTTACGAATTGAATTGAATTAGACTGGCTGTTATTTTTTAGCTATGACCATGAAGAATTTATCAATAGCGGTTTTTCATCGATAGTTTATTTTTTATCATTAGTTGATCATTATAACAATGATCAACGACAGTGTGACCATTTTTAAGTAATTGTAAAAAGTGTCTGATCATTTTCATGATTTATCTGGTGATGTACTACAGTATATTGTCTAATTTTATTGACAAGCACTACAACCATGCAGATTTGTTATACATGATTCCCTGTGTATACAACTTTTAAATATTAGGCCTTATTGTTATTTAAAAAGAAGAAAAAACTACAGCTTTGCTAACCAGTAATGTAAAATTAAAATACCTCAACAAAATCCTGTATTAAAAGTTTTTTTACTACAATCTTTACAAATATTTTGTAATCTTTATTGGAAACTTTCTTGCAGGTTGTATATAGCCTTCAGGAGTTAGACGGTGAGAATGATTTATTCTCTGTTTCAACTGTAAATGGAAAAGGAGTCATTCGGCTTGTGGGCCGATTGGATTATGAAAGAAAGTTCCTTTATCAGCTTAGAGTTCTAGCGATGGATAGATCAAACAATGAAAGGGTAAGAGTAATTTGTATGCACAGCTTCAGTATTTGCTTTAAACACTTATTTTTAACAGAGTTTAAACCATGAACAAGTTTTGTAGATGGTGTTTGTAACGATTCCACTGTTTTCGTTCCTCTCAAATTATCATGAGAAGTTTTTGGTAAAGATGATGGATAGCCTTAGGCCAGGGGTTTTAAAGACCAAGTTATTTTGGTTAATGGTTAATTTGACCTTTTGTGAATATTATAGTGTGTTAAAAAAGTGAAGGTGCGTTTTTGCATTGTTTTTTGTTGTGTTTAAAATATTGCTTTTATTTTTTCAATATAATTTTGAAAATTTCAATGTTTTCATTATCTATCTTTAACTTAAAAAGAAAAAACTTTAAGGCGTTTAAATATGAAACAGTATCCGAGATTTCATGACATTTACAGATAAATACTGCAACAGCGGCCATCTTGGTGAAGGTACAGGACGTGGAAGATCAGCCTCCAGAGTTTGTGGTTGTCTCTCCTGTGACGAGAGTGAGTGAGGACGCTCCTGTAGGAACATCTGTATTGCAAGGTAAAGTGTTTATTTTATAACAGAAATTCGTTGTTTTTAAGTTTTCATGGGCTTGGAGAGTTCAAGTTCATTAAAGATTATTGACACATTTTTCCATCTCTGACTGATTTTTTCAGAAGTTTCACAATGTTCTGCAATTGGGAATCCATCCAGGAATGTTATTTAGAGCATTACTGTATTCTAGACATTTTCCATCAGTGATAAGCAAAACAAAAGTTTCAGGGTGTTCTGGGACCCAAAATATAACCACGTCTTCAAGGTGAGAATAAACAGAACATGACAAGATTAGAGCAAGATTTGAACAAGATAGTCCAGGACCTGACTAGGGTTCTGTGTGCATGTCGTGTATAGAGAATTTTGCTTTTGCATTTCAATATAGGTGTCTTAGGAAGTGTTTTCCACTCGGGTGTCAAGTTCGCACCTGGTACGTTTTCGAGCTATGACGTCATCAAAATGGCGGCCATTGAATTTTTTAAATTGTATATTTCGCAAACTATTTGTCTGATCGGAATGAATTTTTTTTTTTGAAAGATAATTTTAAATGCTACCTGTTTTACATTTACACATTTGTTGTATGTTTAGTACATTCTTCGTAATTTTGCAAAAACCTGTATTTTTAAATATTTTTGAGTTATTTTTGTTTGTAACGTTTTATTGATATAATTTATCAAAAACCACAAATGAAAAAAGTTGTAGAACGTTTAAAAATCTTTACAAAAATACCAAATTCGATATGTTTTACTCAAAAGATTACGTCAAGAAACTAGATAAATCTCATAAAAACACCAATTTTGGCGCAAAAACGCCTATTAGTCCGGCATCTAGGGCAGTTCACAAGTCTTATAAAGACAGTTTCGCCATTCAATGTTGATGTATTTGTCTAAATAAGTGTTTTCAACTCGGGTGTCACGTCTGCACCCACTGCAGTTTCCGGTTATGACGTCATTAAAATGGCGGAAAGGGCTATATTAAAAATAACGATATTTTACATACCATGTATCGGATCGGAATAAACTTTTTTTGTTTGAAAGATAAGTTTACATGCTATCTTTCTTACATTCCCACTTTTGTTTTATGTTTAGTACATTTTTCGTAATTTTGCAAAAACTTATATTTTTAAACATTTTTGTGTTATTTTTGTCGATAACGTTTTATTGATACAATATATCAGAAATAACTTAAAGACAAAGTTGTAGCACGTTAAAAGAGCTTTACAAAAATACCAAATTCGATATGCTTTACTCAAAATATCACGTCAAGAAACTAGAAAATCGTACAAAACAACCTAATTTTGCACTAAAACGCATATAAATCCGACATCGATGGCTGTGTACGAGTCATATATAGACAGTTTTACCATTCAATGTTGATGTATGTTTCTAAAGAAGTGTTTTTAACTTGGGTGTCACGTCTGGACCCACTGCAGTTTCCGGTTATGGTGTCTTTAAAATTGCTACATTTGCTACGATTTTGCCAGCTATTTTACTTAAAATAAGACCATTACCCTCTTTTATGCAAATAAAAGCACAACAAATCAATGTAATTAGTCCATAGGAATGTTTCCACTATATACGTTCCCCCGGTGCAGCAATCCTGTCGACTAAGCGAATTTCCATTTGCCTGGATTGATTTTCAATTAATCTATTAAATTAACATTGTTTGAGTTGTTAATTTAATGTTAATTTAATAGATTAATTGAAAATCAATCCAGGCAAATGGAAATTCGCTTAGTCGACAGGATTGCTGCACCGGGGGTATTTATATAGTGGAAACATTCCTATGGACTAATTACATTGATTTGTTGTGCTTTTATTTGCATAAAAGAGGGTAATGGTCTTATTTTAAGTAAAATAGCTGGCGAAATCGTAACATGTAGCAATTTTAAAGACATCATAACCGGAAACTGCAGTGGGTCCAGACGTGACACCCGAGTTAAAAACACTTCTTTAGACACATATATCAACATGGAATGGTAAAACTGTCTATATATGACTCGTACACAGCCATCGATGTCGGATTTATATGCGTTTTTGCGCAAAATTAGGTTGTTTTGTACGATTTTCTAGTTTCTTGACGTGATCTTTTGAGTAAAGCATATCGAAATTGGTATTTTTGTAAAGCTCTTTTAACGTGCTACAAATTTCTGATATATTGTATCAATAAAACGTTATCAACAAAAAAAACACAAAAATGTTTAACACGTTCGCTACTGCAATAGTACGAAATTTTCTATTCACATGGACCAGCGACGCACATATGCGACGGCCGGTTTCCATCCATAGACTGCCGTCGCATATATGCGACGGCTAGTCACATTAAAATAGACTGCCGACGCATATTTGCGTCGGGGTTCTAATGTTATTAAAATGCTTATATCTTTGTAGTGGTCTATTTAAAGGCACTGAACTCCCTGCAGTGGTCTACAGAGATGTCTGACGCACAACTGCGTCGCTTGGTCTGTGGATATGATGATTGGTGACGTCATATAATAGTTGGAAAAACTGGTCTTTACTTTTCTGCATCACTGTATGTATGCAGTATGTATGCTGCATTATCCTATGTAGCTTTTATATTTGTTCAGTTATAAACTGTTCTTGAATAATCTGTTTATTTTTTTACTTACTTTCACCTTAAAACACAAAAAAATGAACCGTCGCATATATGCGTCGTTTAGTCTATTTCAAGAAAACTATGATAATTTTCACTATTGTCTTCGCTGTAGACCGGGCGTCGCAAATATGCGACATTACTAAAGGTTATAAAAAATACAAAAAAACAAGAATAATTTATTTACAAACACGATTGTAGCGTATTACAATGTAAATGATCACTGTTTTACAGGTTTTCGCCCGTGGTCTGTGTGTACTGTTATCCAAGCGACAGACGGTCTATGTGTAAAATTCAAATGTATACCTCGGTCTGTGGCAATGACCGCGGCGTCGCATATATGCGACGCTCAGTAGCAAACGTGTTAAAAATATAGGTTTTTGCAAAATTACGAAAAATGTACTAAACATAAAACAAAATTGCGAATGTAAGAAAGATAGCATGTAAACTTATCTTTCAAACAAAAAAAGTTTATTCCGATCCGATACATGGTATGTAAAATATCGTTATTTTTAATATAGCCCTTTCCGCCATTTTAATGACGTCATAACCGGAAACTGTAGTGGGTGCAGACGTGACACCCGAGTTGAAAACACTTATTTAGACACATACATCAACATTGAATGGTGAAACTGTCTTTATAAGACTTGCGAACTGCCCTAAATGCCGGAGTAATAGGCGTTTTTGCGCCAAAATTGGTGTTTTTATGAGATTTATCTAGTTTATTGACGTAATCTTTTGAGTAAAACATATCGAATTTGGTATTTTTATAAAGATTTTTAAACGTTCTACAACTTTTATCATTGGTGGTTTTTGATAAATTGTATCAATAAAACGTTACAAACAAAAATAACTCAAAAATATTAAAAAAATACAGGTTTTTGCAAAATTACGAAGAATGTACTAAACATACAACAAATGTGTAAATATAAAACAGGTAGCATTTAAAATTATCTTTCAAACAAAAAAAAATTCATTCCGATCCGACAAATAGTTTGCGAAATATACGATTTAAAAAAATCAATGGCTGCCATTTTTATGACGTCATAGCTCGAAAACGTACCAGGTGCGAACTTGACACCCGAGTGGAAAACACTTCCTAAGACACCTATATTGAAATGCAAAAGCAAAATTCTCTATACACGACATGCACACAGAACCCTAGTCAGGTCCAGGACTAAGACCCTGAATCTGGGAGCACACTAGCTGAAAATAACAAATCCTTAAAGGGGTCCAAAACAATTTAATTATTTTAATTTTGTTTTTTATGTCAAAATGAATTAAATATGAGCGTTACACCTTAGAATAAATATCGATTGAATAATATCAGCTGGTTTTTTTCTCAAATAGTTTTTTAAAATGTGGATAGTTAAAGACAGTTGGGTCCGGTTCTAAATCAAAGTTGCCAATCCCCCCAAGGTCAAGGGCACAAGTCCCACCTTTCTCTCCCCCCCCCAAAAAAAAACCACATGCTGTATTACCACACCAAATCAAAAATTCCAAGTATTTTCTAAAGTAAAAAAATATAAACACCAGGTTAACAGAATGTTTATTAGGAACATTCGTTTTCCAATACAAAAATTATAAGGACAATGAAATATTCATGATAGATAGCTGATAGATAGACATCATCACCACTTCCCATGATCAAGGCAATATATTTACATCCCTATACGATGGCATCACCATCATCTCTTGTGTTAAACATAAGGTCAATACAGAATTTTTACTAGGAACATCCGTTTTGCTCACTATAGCAGATTCGGGGGGGGGGGGGGGTGGGGCGGTCTTTTCATCCGATTAAGAAAAAAATGTTAAGCCACAAACATACAAACACAAGACCAGTTAGCCTCTACACGAATAAAGGAAATAGAACTATTTTTCTCCTGATGCCCTCTCCGAGAATTCAGTTTTCTATCTGAAAGCATTATAAAGTTGTCATGAAAATAATCTGCGACTGTGGCAATGTTTTAACATTCACTCACGGTTATGAAAATATCCACTCCCGTAATCTCAGAAGTATCTTGACATTGCCCCAAAAACGGGGAGACCTTGACACCCTTTCCTCTGTGGTCGCAAAGACACCATCATCACCTCTTATGATCTCAGATCTTGGCAATATTGACATTACTCCATGGCTGTGAAGACGAAGACATCATCAGCTCCTCCTATGATCGCGGCAATATCTTAACATCCTATATCCACATGTTTGCAAAGGCAATCACCATTGTCTTGACATTCAGTTTGATGCGAGGAACAAATTTTAATTATGAATAGCCAAAATTATGTTGCAACAGTTAATAAGGTGTAAAAATAAAACAAATAACAAAAAAATTAAGGTTTTTTTTAAAATTACTTAATAGATTATTAATATCAATATATCTAAAATAAAATCCCACCTAAAATCCCCCAACAATTCCAGTGCATAATCATCATACGAAAATCCCTTCTGGGAATCCCTGTTCTATCTACAATGTCAAAAAGTTTGACCAACAAGTAGATACAATTTTCGTTTAGATTAAGGAGTGCTTCTATAATTATGATTGTAAAAATCTTAAGTACAATTTACTTTCTTAATTTGTTATAAAATTAAAATTGAAATCTTCCCTTAACAAAACTAAATCAACAGTACTTAGCTATTGAATTTTAGTATAAGGACACCATGAAGAGCAATTAGTGGATGATCATTAACTAAGTGAGTGGTTCATATTCTTAACTATTCACAACAACTACATGATACATGATAGATCAATATTGGCATTTCTTGTTTCAATGGTAAAAGTGGATGTGTAAGATAACATAATTTGCAGTGAGAGCGGTGGATGGAGACCGAGGGGTCAACAACCGTATACTCTACTCAATCACTCGGGGAGGAGAAGGAGTCTTCGACATCGATGCTCACTCTGGACTTGTCTTTACAACAACGAAGTTAGACAGGGAATCAGCCAGCAACAGCAATGGTGCTTACATAATGGAGATTATGGTGGGTGATTTATATTGCAAATTGCAGCAGGATTTCAAAAAAGCTTGATCTAGAAGACTGGCTTGTGGGTTAAAACAATAAATTTAAACGTTTTAGTTCAAATATCTCGATTAAAAGAGGTATTATTTTCCCAAAAAGAGTAAATTACAAAAATATTACTTATTCTAATGAGGCTCATTTCCTCAACTTGAAAGTAAATTATGGAAATATTTTTTTTCCAATAACCTAAAAATTACCCTTGCGAGTATACAAATTTTGCTATGTGATGCACTGGCTCAGTCGGTAGTATAAATCTATGGGAACGATATCATGGGTTTGCCCAACACTAAATTTATCAGTACACTGTTAACTCTTGTACTGCACTGCACCACCCACAACCTTTGCTTTGCTCATTATTGCTGTGCTCTACTAAAAGCAGGGGTGGGGGGGAACCAACTTCTTTAAAAAATGAAAAAAAGGTAATACTTTATAATTGAGCAAACTTTTGAACTACTGTAGTCTAATTCAATAGTTACAGGTTTTCTACGCTTAACACTGATTGTATAATGTTTTGTTTCCAGGCTCAAGAGGAATCAAGAGCAGTGTATCCTGCGCCGACAGTGCGGACAGAAGTTACCATTATACTGATGGACGTGAACGACGAAACTCCCACATTCCGCAGCAAGATGTACGCTTGTGAGGTGAACGAGAACGCTCCTGCTAACACTCCACTCACCTTCCTCGGCCATGTTGTGCCTCAAGTGTTCGATTACGATCAGGTGGGTACAACTAGTTGGTAAACATTATGTTGTATGATGGAGTGTTATGTTAATTTTTAGCTTCCTCAGCGAAACACCGGAGAAGATTCAAGTTGTAAAAAGCCATCAGTACAATGAAGTGTTTTTTGTCATAAAATAAAAACTTTAAGAAGGTTCCCATACCAAAGCTGTATTCATTGAAGTTCAGCAATGAGTCTCATACTAGTTGATTTTAGTCATTATCAAAACTGTCATATCGTCATTCTACACTCATCGCTCTCATCTTCACAACCTGTTGTTTTTGTGTTGTAAAACTATAATATATTTTCTATGAATGCAGTACTTAGCAATCTGGAAGGAAGATGTATTAAAAAGTAATTCTCAACCATGCCCTATAGTTTAACACTCAGGGTCACAGATTTTCAGTGGTTCTAAAATTCACCCTCCAATAGTTACATCTCAACCCAATGTCAAAGTGATTAAGAGGAAATTCACAAAAAGTTGAGCTGGTGGCACCAGATCTTTCGTATGGCGGACAAGGCTGCTAGGAGTGTCGCTGCTCTTAGTAATCTTATGGCCAATGTCGGGGTCCTCGGTCCAGCCGTAGAAGACTCTTAATGTCTGCAGTCCAGTCCGTTCTTCTCTACGGCTCTGAGGTTTGGGCAGACGCGCTCAACAAGGAAGCATCAAGGTTGAGGCTAGGTAAGAGTGCAGAGTCAGGTGGCACTCAGGGTAGCTTCCGCGTACCTCACGGTGTCCAAACTGGCCGTTTTAGTGATTGCTGGAGTTATCCCTGTCAAACTCTTGGCAGCGTAGAGGAAGGCAATCTACCAGAGACAAGGCTACATCGGGAAGGACGCTGCAAGAACGGAAAGCGCTCCCACACTTTTTAGCTGTGGCAATGAGCTGGGCATGATTGAGCAGTGTCCATTGGTTAGAAGGGTCATTTCATCCATCCCAATAAAGGGTCAGGTGCCAAAAAAATGAGTCGTCTGAAAACTGGTGCGAAGGTTGATTAATGAAACTATATGATAATGTATAGGCCTATTTATTTAGAATGATTCTTAAAATTTAAAGCTTTACAAAACTGCTCATGAAGTTTTTGTTCCGTTTTGTTTTCCAGGGTAACAATGGTACGTTTGACATGTTCATTGAAGATGATGATGGGGTGTTTGAAGTAACTCCCCGGCAAGGAATCAACGAAGCTTCATTTCTAATAAGAGTCAAAGATTCGTCTAGAATCGACTTTGAAAAATCATCTGGTAAAAAAGTTATTTCTAAAGTAAAAAAATTAAAATGTAAACTGGTGATACTTCATTTGTTTTGTAACTATTTTTTTTGTTATTTATTAGTAACTACTGTAACTATTCAACTAAACTGCAGTAAAATAAAAACTCTTTTCATTCTGAATTTTTTATTATAGTACTTCATTACAGAAATTGAAGCAATTACAAATTAATAAAGTTACTATATACTGAACTTTAGTTTTATGAAATGTACTCAATTAGTTTTCTAAACTTGTTTCATTTGAATGATATTTAAATTATCCTTTTTTTTATTATATAAATTGGATTGTATAGCTATACTAAATAAATATATTGGTTCTAAACTATTATTGTTTGCAGAAAGCTAAAACATGTTTATAATGACAAATATTTAAGTGCCAATGAATTGTAGGCGTAATGCATTTATTTTTTCAGTGATAAACTTCACCCTAGTGGCTAAGGAAACTGTTGAGAGGAGGCCGAAGTCTAACCGTGTACCTGTCACTGTGTTCATACGAGACATGAATGACAATTTTCCAGAATTCACCAAACCAGTGTATGAGGTAAGCAATATAATCCGCAAGTTTAAACCATTTAAAACTAACCATACATATTTAGAGAGTAACAAATTATTAGTGGGATTTATTTAATAAGCCTGAGGAATAATATTAAGAATTACCTTTTTAATATAATTTACCCTACTCTTTTGCAGATTTTTTGTCCCTCTTCTATGTTAGCAGTGTTTTAGATTTTATTAATAACATAATATAGATATAGTGTCATCTAATATGATAGAGTCAATCACTTAGTTTTTTTATTGGAATATAACATGGCTTTTCTTCCTTATTTTAACTTCTTCTTAACACATTGCGTGCGTGTTACCGCCCGGGCGGTAGGTCCGCACTCCGCCACGCTGCGGCGTACCGCCCGGGCGGTAGTGTGAACCCGCCAAACTTATTCGGTTTGAGTGCAGCCGCACTCCGGTGTAGGTCAGAGTATTTTTGTCCGTGCTTCGTGTATGACAGTGGTAGTTTTGTGGTGCAATCCGTTTGTAATTATCGTTACTCGTTCCGAAACTATACCTGGTGGATTTTGACTCACTCATTACGTTTGTTAACTGTAACTTTGTGCTATATTAGTGTGTTTTATTGTTAAATAATGGCATCTACTGTGGGTGTTTAGCAAACTACGTCGACTCTTGTCATGAAACAATACATTACCATACGTTATTTGATATTCGTCATACCAAAATATGAAAGCCAATCACCCGGCAATCGGGTATGTTGTGAGCTGCGCCGCACTGGGGCTACGCCTGCTATTTGATGGGCCGCAGCAAACGTGTTAATTAATTTCAAAGAATAACACTATGCAATTAGTCCCAGTAATTAACACAGCAGTGTTTAAAATTAAAACAAAACTGTTAACTGCTTAATTGCTTTTGTAGGTGCAACATTTTTTAAATGTTTGAATGATTCTCATGAATGTTCAAGGATCATCAAAACCTGATCATTCATTTCACAGCACTTATTTCACAGAAGTTGTAATTTTCACAAATTAAATGCAGCGTAATATTCATCATATCTTGACTCTTGTAATTTTTAAAGCTATATTGCTCAGGAAGATAACCAACACAAACATTTTATTCACGATAACCGTGATTTGTTGTGATCTACAGGCCAGGCTGGCAGAGAACTCTAGAATTGGCACAGTGGTGGTGAAGGTACAAGCCCATGACAGGGACTCTGGAGACCTGGGGACGAGAGGCATCCGCTACACCAACCTCGGAGGCAGCATTGCTGATCTGTGAGTGATCGGCTAAAGACAAACTTAACAATAACAGCTGTAAAATTTATGCTAAAATAAAGAAAAAACATTTACTTGACAACAGGTCATTTTAACATGAAGATGGAACACAAGTTTCAGAATTTACAACAGTAACATAAGAAGTCTACATGAACATCCAAGCCAAATGGTACAGCTGACAGTGGAACACCCAGAATTTTACTAGATAATAATGTGAAGGCTATATTGGTTGTGTTGCTGGCCTAGTGGTTAGCGTCTCGGACTTCGGTGCGGAAGGGACTGGTATACCCACAAAAACATTAATCTCACGTTGAACTTTTGTGAAATGCCACTAGCGTAGGAAAAAGATTTTTAAAATATTTAAAACACAAATCAAAGTAATAAGGTTTTGAAAGCCAAAGTAAAAACAACACAAGTATGCCGTTGAAGCATTGCCTCACTTGTGACATGCAGACCAACCAATTCTCCAGGAAAGGCAGTTTGAGTGACCCATAGTTTGAGAACATGCTATTATCGCACAACAAATAATTAAAGCTCTGGATAGTCTTGTAAATAATTGCACAACATTTATGTTGCAGATTATCACTGGATCCCATCACTGGGGTGATCTCAATAAAGGAGGAGAGTCCAGCTTTTGATCGAGAGTTGGTGTCAAGGCACTTCCTCACCATAGAGGCCAGAGACAGTCGAGGTCTGGGGAACAGGTCAGTTGTTGTTGAAGCTCTTTGATGCTTTAGAACTTTGGAAGCTGATTTTTAATAAAATAAAATAGTACATTTGTTTTAGAGTCAGTTGGCATGCAGGCTACCTATTTGAACGAATGGTATTTTTGGTCTCTGGGACCTCAAAGTGGAAAAATAAATCCATCCTGGATCCAGGTCTTACCATGTAACCTATAGTAATAGATTATTCCCTATATGGGAAACTAGCAGAGTACCCGTCCTTCGTACGGGGTTGGCATATAAGTATAAAATGCTTATTGCAGTTATACTCAAGCTTTGCATTTTCAATGGGGCGGACACAGTTTGATAAAATTTGCTTCTTTAAATCAACGGTATACTATAGTATTACACATCTACCATAGCCATAATGTTCTACCACTTCACCTAAACAATAAAGAAAAATTATTTATTAAAAATTTGCAAAATATCACAAATTGTTCATGAAATTAAAAACATAAACAACTGTAAACAATCCTACTTTGACAGTTCTCATTGCGTATCACAGCTTTTTGTTCCTGCTTAGTTCAAATTAGCTGTTTTCATAAATGCAAAGAAAAAAATAATAGTGCTGCACTCTGTTGGTAAATCTTATAACTTTTTAATACTTTTGTATATCATAGAACCAACTTTTTTAGTTGAAACAGCTGACAAAATACTTTAATTCCCTTTAAATATGAAAACTCATAAGGCTAACATGGAACTAACATGGGAACTACAGAGCCACTGGGGCAGAGCCCGAAAGGATTTTTGAGATAAGAATATGCCTATATGTTAATCGGGAATGTGAGCTATCATCATGCCAAATTTCAGCCAAATCCGTCCAGTAGTTAATGCGTGATTGAACTTCAAACACCCAAACAAACAAACAAACAAACACACAAACTTTCACATTTATAATATTAGTAAGATTCACAAAAAAATATTTTCTCCACTTTTTATGGCATACGCGTTTTTTTTAGACATTTTAAGTAAGATGATTCATAGGACTTCTAGAGAAAGCTCTAAACTATTATTGCACTATTATTTTTTTATTATGAATCCTCATTAAAAAAAGTGCTTGTTTATTGACTTAAGCTTATATAAATTTATGAATATTATGTTTAATTATTTATGTGTAAATTTATTAATTGCAGGAACTCGGTGCAGCTGATCCTAAACATCGAAGATGTAAACGATAATGCTCCACAGTTTGTACACAGCAAATATGAAGCCAGACTCCAAGAAAACCAATCTGATTTTGATTCACCTCTTATTGTAGAAGCAAGGGATTTGGATCTCAATGGTATGTATATGACTATCTTGATGAAATTAACTTTCATAGAATGCTTTAGCTTTTTCATGTTATGGTTTCGCATTAAATATTGTAGATATAACAGTCTTTTAAACTGATTAAAGGTTTCTGTCTCATTGTAAGCAATTTGGTTCTCAGTTATGATTATTTCACCATTGGACATTATCATGGTACGAGGTAAGGCTGGTTAGAAGCATTGGACTTCTGCTCATGGAGACACAGGATCAAATCACACCAATAACCAGTGGCTGAAGGGATGTGACAATGCCATTACCACAGTTATCTGTGTGTAGGTTCACCAATCAAGAAAAGACATAGGTCTCTTAGGCTAGGAAAATGAAATTTATCAGCTTGGTAGTATCAAAGGTGGGCATTCTAATAAACCTTGAACAACAGTAATGTGTTTAAAATAATAACCAATATCGTTCATTGTTATTCAATTCAATTTTTCAATTCAAAATAACTTTATTCATTCAACAATACAACAAAATAACAATTGACAATTATACATATACATTACATAGAATACAAGACATAGTTAAATAAATTGACATAAATTGAGAATGAATAGTTAAGTTCCTCATTTTCTCGTGTTGAGGAACTATATCTTTGATTATTTTATTAATTATTTATCTTTGATATTTTTTTTTTCATTTAGTTATTTGAAATGATAAATTATTATTGTGTTGAGTAAGTCTGATACTTGATTTAGCAATCCAAACAAAAAATTCCAAACCTTTTATCATCCCCAGGTACTCTGAACAGTCAGGTGCACTACAGTATTGTAGAGTGGGATGCTTCTGTGTCTAACTTCACGGTAGATCCAACACTGGGGCTCGTCCGGCCATCGTCCCACATAGACTTTGAGAAACTCGCTCGTACGCAAGGCGGCCCAGCAGATGTCAGTGTGAGAAGTGTTCATCTCACAATCAGAGCCAAGGATCTCGGCACACCTTCTCTGTTCTCAGAAGTGCCTCTACTGGTCTATGTTCAGGATATCAACGATAACGAACCTTACTTTGAGCACGAATTGTATGAACAGACGGTACCTGAAGATTTGAAAGGGGGCAGCACTGTTTTGCAGGTGATTTTTACATTGTTTTCAAATCAAATCAATTTATTGACACAAATAACGTTACATTGGGTGCTTATAGCAGTAACTGGTGTCTTGTCAATTACATAAATCTTAATAATAAAATACAATGGAAAAAACATTTTACATCAAACATAGAAAATTACAATAACAATACAAATGTACAATGACTAACCCAAGGAGGTGTCTGCTAAAAAGTCTGAGATGGAATGATAAACCTTATCCAGTAGAATTTCTTTAATTTTAACTTTAAAAACATTTAATGCCAATTGTTGAAATTTATTCGGCAAATGGTTGTACAGCTTCAGGCCTGTATAAAAAGGACATTTTTCAAATGTTGTTGTCCGATGGATTGGGTAACTGTAAAGATTCTTGTTTCTAGTGTTGTATTTGTTTTTTATTAAGAACTTTTCAAAATCTTTTTTATTTTCATGGACATAATTAAGGCTTTCATAAATGAACAGGCTGGGGAAAGATAATATGGACTGATTTTTGAAATGTTTTTTACAGGAAGCCCTAAATTTAGCATTTGCCATATTTCTAATGAATCTTGTTTGCATTGAAAATATCTTTTTACTATTTTTTGAATTTCCCCATAAGGTAATGCCATACCACAAAATCGATTCTACATGGGAAAAATAAACTATTCTGATACATTTTTTGATGCACACTGAGAAAGAACTGAAAAAGCAAAAAAGAATGATCTTAATTTTTTTAACAAATAATCAATATGTTCCTTCCAATTTAGTTTTTGGTCAATGATCACTCCGAGAAATTTTTTTTTGTGAAATATCTGTCATTATATGTGTTTTAGTTACAATCGTGATCAAATGGCATTCATTCTTTACAGTTATTCTGTTAGACATGTGTGAATGTTTTGTAGAGAATGAAATTAAATGGAGATTATAAGATGAGAAAAAAATGAACACACTTTTGGGATAGGAGAACAAGCACTGTTTTTATTTACTTTTTGATACACAACATGTGTTAGCAATAGAGAATAATTTAATTTGATTAAGAACACATGTTAGTTGCAAGGAAAAGAGATGTACATTAAATAAAACATAGAGTGTTAAATAATATGAATGGTTAAAGTTTACTGAACATACCGGGGGCCTTGAATCCCCAGTGGATTCAACAAAAACAGTTCACGAATCCACAGTTGGCAGGGGAAACACTTTGTGGGCAGATCTTCTGAGGTTGCCACTTGATGTTTTTAAGTCTATCACTCGCACAACCCCATCAGCCCCTGGATAAACTGCTGTAATTCGAGCGAGAGGCCACGAGAGAGGTGGTGAGTCCATATGTACCAGAACAAGGTCACCCACTTCAAGATTTTTTGATTTCCGAGTCCACTTGGTACGTTGTTGCAAGTTGTTTAAGTATTCTAGGTGCCATCTATGCCATATGCGTTGATGAAATGCTTGAACTAGCTGCCATTGCTTGAGACGGTTTTCAGGAACTGTCAGGAGATTAGGTTCAGGTACTGCTGTGAGGGGTGCACCAATCAGGAAGTGTCCGGGAGTCAGTGCTGCGAGATCCGAAGGATCATTTGAAAGAGGTGTCAGTGGTCGGGAATTGAGCATTGCTTCGATTTGGATCAACAATGTGATGAATTCAATGAGTGTTAAGACTGAGTTTCCCATTACTCGACGGAGATGATGTTTCACATTCTTTACAGACGATTCCCACAATCCTCCTTGATGCGGAGCGGCTGGTGGATTAAAATGAAAATTGATGCCTTTAAGTGAAGAGAATCGTTGAATCTTCCGTTTGGAGTCTTGACAATAAAGAGATTTTTCAACAATCTTGCGTAGGGTAGAGTCAGCACCAATGAAGTTGGACCCACAATCCGAGTAAATGTCGGAAGAATGTCCTCTGCGAGATACAAATCGAGTCATTGCAGCAATGAAAGATTCAGTCGTTAGGTCTGTTACTACTTCCAAATGTACAGCTTTCGTGACGAGGCAGATGAAAGTACAAAAGTATGACTTTATGTGTCTCACTGCCTTGAGGTTGAAGATTTTAACAGTAAAAGGCCCTGCATAATCTATGCCGGTGTGGAGGAAAGGTCGAGCAGGAGTTACACGAGACTGAGGGAGATCAGCCATGAGAGGACACACATTTCTAGGTTTGACTTTGAAACATCTGACACATTTATGGATACGAGAGCGTATGGCACAACGGGCAGACAGTATCCAAACATGTTTGTAAAGTAATGCTTGAGTAAGCTGAGGGCCTGAATGAAGATTGTAGATATGGTAGTGGTCAATGAGGAGATTTACCACATGATGCTTTTTTGGCAGAATAATGGGATGTCGAGCATCTTCAGGAAGTGATGTCTGAGAAAGACGTCCTCCAACACGCAATAATCCAAATGAGTCAATGAAAGGTGAAAGACGTTGTAAACGAGTGGAGCAAAATGATTTCCGTTTGAGGCAGTTGATTTCTTCTGTGAATACTTCTTTTTGTACAAGTTTAAAAATGTGATATTTTGTGTCTTTCAGTTCCTGTGTTGAGATGAAACCTTGGCGTTTTTCAGAACCTTTACAGTTGTGTATGAAACGAAGGACGTAAGCAAAAATCCTAAGAAGTCGTTCCCATGAAGAATATTTAATGAGAAGATTGGTCAGCGTAGATTCAGTGGTAGTTGACACAAGTACAGTTAGAGGAGTGTGTTTTACTTCATCTAATGTTGAGATATCTGTAGGTGAAAAAGTTACATCAGGCCAGTTTGAAGGGGGAAGAGAAAGCCAAGAAGGCCCTGACCACCAAAGGGGGTGAGACACAAGCTCAGTGGCTAGAATACCTCTTGAAGCACAATCAGCAGGGTTTTCCTTGCTAGGGATGTAACGCCAACAGTGATAGGGGACAAGTTCTTGTGTTTGGGCGACTCTGTTAGCCACGAATGTTTTCAGCCTGTAAGATGGAGTTTGAAGCCATGTCAAGGTTACTGAAGAATCACACCACAAATAACATTGGTTGAGTGAAATTAAGGGTTTGAATGAAAAACAACAGAAGTTTACGAGTTGAGCTAATAAGTGGGCAGCGCAGAGTTCTAATCGTGGAAGAGTCACCTTCTTGAGAGGGGCGACTCTAGTTTTAGATAAAACCATACGTGTAGTCACTTCTCCGTTGGGTTGGGAACATCGTACATAGACAACAGCTGAAAACCCACGTTCAGAGGCGTCTGAGAAGCCGTGAAGTTCAACACTAGAATTTGGAGAGATTTTCAATGCTCTAGGGATCTGAATGTCTGCAAGTGCTGGTATCGCTGAGATAAAGTTACTCCAAATTGCACTAAGTTCTGGAGTGAGAGGTTCATCCCATTGTAGACCGGTCGTCCAGAGAAGTTGAATAAAACATTTCGCTGTCATAGTACATGGGCTAAGAAATCCACAAGGATCGTATATTTTAGCGACTAGACTGAGAACGTGACGTTTAGTTAGTGTTTTTGGCGGTAGGTTGAGATGAAATGAAAAATTGTCCGAGTCTGGAGACCAGTGTAGGCCAAGAATTGAGAAATGGGGATCAGGTGTATTTTCAAGAAAGACTGGAGAGTCTTTATGAGTGTCTGGAAGAGACTGAAGAAGCTCGGGAGAATTTGAAGTCCATTTTCGAAGTTCAAAGTGTCCACGGTTGAGTAGTTGAATGAGTTGATTTTGAAGGTTCTTTGCTTCATCTACCGTGTCTGCTCCAGTTACAATGTCGTCTACGTAAGTCTGAGTGCGCAAGACATTTGCTGCTTCAGGGAAGTCTTTACCTTCGTCTTCAGCTAACTGGTGGAGGGTACGAATCGCTAAGTAGGGTGAGCTATTTACTCCAAAAGTCACTCGAGTGAGTTTGTATGTGGATATATCTTCAGAGGGATTGTCACGCCACAAGACGAGTTGGAACAGTTGATCGGAAGGTTTGATTAAGATTTGAAGATACATTTGGCGAATATCGCAAGTGAAAACGATATTGTGTATTCTGAAATGTAGCAATATATCACAAATGTTGGTCTGTAATTTAGGGCCGGTCATGAGAGAATCATTGAGGGAAATTCCAGAGCTGGTTTTGCAGCTTGCATCATAAACGATTCGGAGTTTAGTTGAGGTACTGGATGGTTTCTCAACTGCATGGTGTGGCAAGAAATAGTGAGGAGAGTTGATATCTAGATGAGGTAGTTTTACCATATGACCTTGAGAGATGTGTTCATTTATATTGTCAGAGTAAGATTTATACAAATCAGGAGAGAGTGTAAAACGTCGTTCAAGTGAGTGAAAACGTCGTTCTGCGATGAGTTTGGAAGATCCTAAAGGTGGATGATTTTCTTTAAATGGTAGCTGAACTAAGTAACGGCCATTTTCGTCCCTAGAGTGGGTAGCTTTAAACAGATCTTCACACTGTTGCTCTTCAACCGATATCTTTGAGGGTACAGATAATTCCTCTAATTTCCAAAATTTCTGTAGAGAGTTATGCAATTCGTTGTCAACCGTTGAGAGCAGAGAGATGGATGGAGTGTTGGCAGGCTGGGAATCGGTTGAACAAGGTGCATTCCCCATAACAACAAAGCCAAAGTGAGTTCCCATCATGTTAGGCATGTTAGGGCCGAGAGAATAGTTTTCATTCGTTAAAAGAAGAGGGAAGAGAGAAGCTCCGATCAGCATGTCAATGGGCCCTGATAAGTGGAAGCTGGGATCAGCAAGGGGGTAAGGTTTTACTTTCAATAGAACTCTTTGTGATATTTGAGATCTAGGGAGATTGACAGATATTTTATCAAGTATGTGCACTTCATGGTTGGATGCAACTAATTTTCCTGCCAGTGTGTTAACAGTGAGGTTCACAATACCCTTTGTGAGAGTTGGAGATTGAGAAAGACCAACTACTTGTAAGTTGGATTTGAAACGAGGTGCATTCAGTAGTTGAGCAGCTTTTTCACTAATAAAATCACACATGCTGCCACTATCAATCAATGCTCTGAACACATGAGAAACGTTATTTTGAGCAGTAACTTTAACCAGTGTTGTGCCTAAAATTACAGTTTTAGGGATTTGATTAGCAGGACTGGCTTCCTGTGAGCAAAGAGATACGGTAGGTTTTTCATTCGAAACATGAGTGGTTGATGGTTGTGATGATGTAGAACCTTGAGATGTCTTGTCATGTTCAAAATGAAGTAAGGTGTGATGACGTTTGTGGCATTTGAAGCAAGATGCTTTAGACTTACATGTTTTAACATCATGTTTTCCGAGGCAAGAGACACATCTGTTGTTGTCCTTTACGGTTTTAAAACGTTCATTTGAAGAAAGAGAGAGAAAGCTAGGACAAGCATAAACCTTGTGGCCAGTTGATGAGCAGACAAAGCAGGGAAATGAGAAAGGATTTTTTGAGTTGTCTTGATTTGATGGAGTTGGAGTAGAGACCATTGTAACTTTCTGAGCTTGAATGAAAGAGGGCTTGGATGTGAAAGATTTGGGTTTAAAATTTGAATCGTGGTTGTTCGTACTTTGAGCAAACTTGGTATGTAACACAGCGTCTTCCATTTGGTTACACTCTTGATTAAGAAACTTGACTATTTCGACTACTTCTGGTAGAGAATGTGTTTCGCATTTTATATTAATTCTAAAAGCCTCTAGTTGTTTTAGAAGGTCATTGTCTAGTTTTCGTAAGAGTATGGTGGACAACAGAGGGTTAGAGTTAGAAGTAATGTCACAGTCAAGAGCTTTAAGTGCTTCTGTGTGTTCATAAAACAAGTTGAGGAACGTTCTGAGACATTTGTTTGAGGTAGAGGAAATGTCCGGTAGGTCGATCAGTTTGTTTAGGTGAAGTGTAGTTAACCTTCGGGTGTTGTGGTATCTGTCTCTGAGGAGCTGATAGGCAATTGAGTAATTGGCTGAAGTGATACTGAAAGCTTTTACGAGATTTAGTGGTTCATTTTTGAGCACGCTGAGAAGATATTGAAATTTAGTGACGTTTGAAATGCTTTCATTCAGATGGATGCTAGTGTCAAATAAGTTGATGAAACTTACCCACTGTAGAGGAGAACCATCAAACGTGATGAGGTCTAGTTTTGGGAGTCTTACGTGAGCAGATGATGAAGCTGAGATGTCACTAATTCTTGTTGAATCTTTACTTTCTTCTGGAACATCTTGCGGCTGCTGTTGGAGAAGGGCTTCAATCCGAGACTTGGCTTCGACGAATAGCAGTCGCAGTTTGTCTTCAGTGTCACTTACTGCATCCAAATCTAATTCTTCTGATATATGTTCCAAGGCTCTTTCCAGGTAATTTTCATAGGCTTCATGTTTCTTTTCTAACTGGTTCGAGAAGTTGTTTAAAGTTCTGATTTGTATCACTGACAAGATTGAGGGGGAAAGTGTTTCAAGCTCTTGTACAGATTTGAGAATCTTTTCAAAAGAATTTTGTATGAGAAGGGTTGATTTGTTGAAGTTTGAGAGTGAAATTGATCTGGTAGCCATATTGGACAAAACAGATGGAGTGAAACTTTACTAAGAATTAGATAGAGTTTGTGACACTATGAGAGTGGGGAGAAACATAAAGAGATTGAATGATAAAATAAAGATATTTCGATAGCTTGAAAGTGTTCTGAAAATTGAATCCAAAGACTGAAATTCAAAATCCAGGCTCGATTAGGACCAATGAATATTTTGTAGAGAATGAAATTAAATGGAGATTATAAGATGAGAAAAAAATGAACACACTTTTGGGATAGGAGAACAAGCACTGTTTTTATATACTTTTTGATACACAACATGTGTTAGCAATAGAGAATAATTTAATTTGATTAAGAACACATGTTAGTTGCAAGGAAAAGAGATGTACATTAAATAAAACATAGAGTGTTAAATAATATGAATGGTTAAAGTTTACTGAACAATGTGAACACTTTAAGTCTTGCTCCCTTGTAGGTGTGGCTATAGTTATGGTTTAACATCTGATAGAAATGTTTGCTGTCAAAAAGCCATATTATGTTTAATGTAACAACCAAAACTCCCTGGAGTATATCTGAAGGTGTACCATCTATATTTTCCAGGTGAAAGCGTCAGATGACGATGCATCATCACCCAACAATCAAGTAGTGTATCGCATCCAGTCTGGTGCGGGTGACAAGTTTGTGATTGACCCGACCTCAGGAATACTGAGCGTTGCCAACGGAGCAAGCCTGGACCCAGATGGAACTGACCCGCGGACAATGCAATACAGCATGGTGGTGGTGGCTCTTGATGGGGGTATTGGGAAACATCAAATGACGGCGACAACACAAGTGGAAATCAAAATACAAGACGTCAACAACAAACCTCCTGTGTTGATTGATCCTGGCACTGTTCGAGTCATGGAGAACACCAAGGTGAATGATTAGACCTGTGAAATATGGGGAGAGTCATTAACATTTATATCCTCTTTTAGCGAATTTCCCTATAGGGAAGTAGCTATTACCGTAGGTGGCACGGTAAGACCTAGACCTGGGACCAATTTATTTTTTCATTTTGATGTCCCCAGAGGCCAAAAACACCATTCGTTCAAATTTTTATATATGTAAGCCAAAAACAACACTAAGCAGAGTGTTGGTGTGTTGGTGACTATATATATATATATATATATAGATTTATATATATATACGTCCGTGAACGCGATAACTTGAGTAATTTTGGTCCGATTTTGATGAAATTTGGTTTAAAGGTGTAAAGCGAGATAAACTTGAATGAGTTCGCGAACCAGCATGATCGGACCATGGGAACGGGGCTTTAGGGGGGGTTTTATGGGGTAAAAATTGGTTTTTCTCACTTTTGACCCTCAAAACACAAAATTTCCCAATTTCTTTTTAGACCTTTTTAAAGACCTTCAAAAAACAAATAATTTAGTATATAAAAGTATTTTTGTTCGATTATTAGTAACGGAGAAAATTAAAAAAATTGTAAATTTAAAATTCCCATGTTATTCTTATGGAGAATATTGTCAAATGTTGTAATTTGCTTGTTTATGGATATATTTTGATCAAACTTGGCAAATTTATTTATTTTGTACTAAGCTATCAATATTTTACTCAAAAACACACTTTATTAGGTTCCTTGTAGCAGCAAACCTAGGTACTCGTCAAACCTAATGTTATTAAAATATATTTAATTGAAAATCAATTCAGACAAATGGAAATTCGCTTAGTCGGCAGGTTTGCTGCGGTGGGGGTATTTAATCTCATAGCACCTAAAAAACTTTGGTTTGTTAAATTTGTATGTGAAAAAATAACTACCTACTCCGTGTGTTTACTGATGCAGTGGTAGTTTTAACTGTAACAATCTCCTTGGAAGATAATATGCAGCTACTGAGACTCTCATATTGGTTAATATGGTGGACAGTCGATCTCGAGCTTGGTCTAGATAAAAAATTTTAGAGCTTACGATAAGTCAACCTTTAAAAGCATTGGTGATCCACAAGTAGTAGTTTTTCAAGACTTGATTAGATAAAAAAAAAAATACTCCACCATATTTAAATTATATTATATTAATTTATATTTATTATAATATAATATAATATATATTTAATATAATATATTATATATAATATAATATAATATTTATATTATATTATATTATATTATATTAAAAACTACAAGTATATCTTAGCAGGAGACCTAAATATTGATGTCGGTTCAAAAAAAGCAGACGACTGGGCTCTACAAAACACTCTGCGTTCTTTTAACTTATTCTGTTCCAACTTTGAGCCAACAAGGGGTGTGAGGTGCCTTGACAACATTGCACTTAACTTTCAGAGGAGCGACTTCGCTGTCTGCGTTGGAAACTTTGCCTTGTCAGACCATTTAGCAGTTTGCCTTAAGGTGGAAATTCTACAACTTGTAAAACCTACGACGGAATACCAAGTAAAGAGGAATTATAGTCCTGTTAACCAAGCAAAATTTATCTCTACTGTCGGTAATATTGACTGGCCAGGTCTGGTATCAGATGGCAGGCATATCAGCAACAATCTTTTCACCATCCTGTTTGATCAGCTCCAATCAACTATCAATGATTGTTTCCCTCTCAAGAAAATCTTACCAAATTATCAGAGTAAAAAACCTAGACGAAAAAATCGTTGGTTTACAGCAGAGCTTCAAGTCCAGCGTGACTTAGTCCTAACAGCTTTTGATGCCTATAAAACATCTGACTCACAGATTGATAGGGAAACCTATGTGACCCTAAAAAGGACTTATAAAAAATCTCTTGCAACAGCCAAGCTCAACGCCAATGTAATAGAAATCGAATCTGCAACCAACAAATGCAAAGCTGCCTGGTCCATCATCCGTGGTAATATGGAGAAGCCAAACACCAACCCCCTACGATACATATCTCCACAAGACTTCAGTGATTTCTTCGTGTCATCTGTGGAGCAGACAGCGGCACTGGTGACACCTTCGATTGCTGCATCCACTTCACTACTTGAGAATACACCAGCTTCTCCATCATCCTTCAAGTTCAGTGCAGTGTCTTGTGAGGAAGTATATAGTGTTGTGCATAATATGAAATCCTCTTTCTGCACAGATGCATATGGTATGTCCTCTAACCTTCTAAAGCTTATTATAGTGTATATCTTGTTGCCACTCACTGCAAGTATTAACTGCTGCTTGCTCTCTGGCTTTTTCCCCGAAAAACTGAAGTTTTCAAAAGTTGTTCCAATTTATAAAAAGGGTCCGAGGGAGAATCCTAGTAGTTACCGGCCCATTTCGTTAGTTCCTGTGATTGGCAAAGTGTTCGAAACCATAATAAAATCACAATTAATGAAATTTTTTGAATACCATGGCCTAATATCGGATTGGCAATTTGGGTTTCGAACGGGTAGATGTGCCACGGATGCGGTAAGGCGCTTGGTGCAGCATGTGCTAAATTCTTTTGAAAACGCCTCTCTTACCCAGGCAACTCTAGTTGACCTGAGTAAAGCGTTTGATTGTGTTCCCCATGGTTTACTTTTGAATAAACTTGAGTACTACGGTATCCGTGGCACAGAACTCAATCTTTTTAAGTCTTACTTATCAGACCGCAGGCAGCAGGTTGATGTTGCGGGTATATTGTCAGATGAGAGTGAGGTTTTTTGCGGAGTGCCCCAGGGCTCGGTGTTAGGCCCTGTTCTTTTCCTTATAATGATTAATGATTTGGATAAATGTATGTCCTGTACTTCTGTGATTTATGCGGATGACTCCACTTTCTTAAATAGTCAAGGTACCTTTAGTGAACTCATGGTGCTGTCCAAACTTTCCCTCAATGAAGCTAGGAACTGGTTCAGTGTCAATGGGTTTTTTATGAATCCTGAAAAGACTCAAACTATTGTTTTTAGGTTAGGTCGCACACCTGAGGAAGAAAAGAATTTTTCGTCAAGTGTAAATTTATTAGGCATAGATTTGGATAGTGATTTAAGCTGGTCAACCCATTTATATAACTTAAGTAAGAAATTGTCAAGAGTTTTATTTTTAATTAGACGTCTAAGAGATTTTGTTCCTCCTTTGTATGTTAGATCTGCGTATTTTGCTTTTTTTCAAAGTCTGTTAAAGTATGGTCTGTTACTGTGGGGTAACTCCACCCACATTCTAATAATTTTAAAGCTTCAAAAAAAGGCTGTAAGACTGTTGACCAATTCAGGGTTGAGGGACCATTGTAAACCTCTTTTTAAAGCAACAGGTATCCTGACAACTGTAAATTTGTATATATTAGAGTGTGTTATTTTTGTAAAACAAAATTCACATTTCTTTAGCTCAAGAAATAATTTTCACTCATATTACACAAGGGGAAGATCTGCTTTGGATAGGCCCTACACCAGACTAACAACAGTACAGCAAAGTTTTGCTAGTATATCAGTAAAAATAGTAAATTGTTTTGCAAGTGAAATACTTGACATTCCTTGTACTCGGCTAAAACAAAAGTTGATGGTTTGGCTTGCTGACCACCCTTTTTACAGTTTAGATGAATTTTTTGCAGAATACAATTGTAATGGTAAAATTGTTATCTAGTTCTTACTTAGTCCCTAGTCAACTGTTACCTAGTCTTTCAAACACTTGTTTAAGTAGGTACCTCACTTTTGTTTCATATATATAGTTCTGTGTTTTTCAAATGATTTTAGCTTTATTTTCTTGTTGTCTTTGTTATATTTAAGTTTAGTGAAGATTCCATGTTATAGACCATGTTATACTATCTAGAATCTATGGCCCTTTTTTTGTTAACGAGGTCTATTGTAACATATGTTATTTAATGACCAATAAAGATTTATGATTTATGATTTATTTACCTGTGAGTTAACATGCACTATCTTGCACTATTTAAAACCACTACATGAAAATCACCGTACCTTGCCCGTCAAAAATGAGTAAAGAGTGTAAAAAGAGAAAAGAGTGTGTGTGTTGTAACAAAAGAGTGTCTACAAAAAAAATACAATCGGTAAAGTTTGTGATCTTTTATGCAAAGCTTATACTAATTATCCAACTAAACATTCAACATCCAACTAATTATGGTTTTCGTGTTTTTTGTACGGAAGGAAAAAAATTACAATTAGCACATTTGATTTTCAATTTAAAAAATATTAAAAAATTTTAAAATTATTTGGAAAATTTCTTCTTGGTCTAACTCTGGGTCGATTGATACACCAATTTACTTTGGAATTGTAAACAGCAAAAAAAGTTTCTTGGTTTCAAATTTCTCTATGTTAAATCACTATCATTATTCCTCTTCTACTTCTAGGTAGGACAGTTTGTTCATCGGGTGATAGCGACTGATCCAGATGAAAAGTCGTCTCTAAGATTTTCAATAGACAGAGAGGATTGTGAAGCCAGAAGTGAAGAAGGAACAATCATAAAACCATCCGAGTTTGACTTCTTGTCTGCTTTTGAATTGAACCCGGTCGACGGATTGTTACGAGTTGTCAAACTCCTGGATCGAGAGCGGGTGGAGGTGATAAGGTTGGCAATAAGAGTTGAAGACACAGCATCAATGAATGGGAAACAGATCACGTCAGGTATTTATCCATCAATCTTTGCTTTTGTAAGTCACAGTCAATGTTTTTCACAAATAATTTACTTTGCATGATGATTGTTTATTGTTAACATATGACTTGTTTCAGAGCTTCATTGCTTGATTTTCAAATCTGATTGTCAAAACTATAACTTGGGTTGTCACTAATTTAACATTTGACATTAAATTACAACTGTTGTCATAATTTAAAGTCATAATTTACAACTGGGTCGATGAAAAGAAAAGAGTATTTAGAATGTCTCTGTACCAACAGGTGTACTGACAATCGTGATAGAAGATGAAAACGACAACAACCCAATGTTCAGGAAGCCTTTCTACCGACGTTTCATAACAGAGAACAGTCAACTTGGTGTTCCCATCATCAACGTTGTAGCGGACGATGCAGACAAGAACAGAACCATCACTTACAGTCTGGAAGGTATCATCATTGACTATAGATACACCATGAGGATAAATAATTTGAAAATATTCAAATAATGAATATAGAGAAAATAGTGTTATGTTAACAATATTTTAGCTGTCAATTCTTGAATAAATACCTCCTATGTACATTGTATGCTCTTTACTCACAATGGGTATCAAAAGGACAAGCAAAAGTTTACAGAATGTTCTATTTGGATCATATTAATAGTTGTTATCAAAATACTGTAACTATAAAAAACTGTAGACTTAAAAATGAACTCTACATATGCTAACCATAAACATACTTTTAAATTTGGATCGTTTGATCCTTAGGGACAATAAATCTATAAAAGTGCATTTAATCTATAATTCTGGCTACTTACATATATTTTCCATGTTTCAGGTGCTCCCAAGATGACAGAGTTAGTACATCTGGATCAGCAGACTGGAGAAATCGTTGTTGCCAATCGTATTGACCACGAGCAGACTCCATGGCTGAACATGTCCGTGCGAGCTACAGACTCAGGCATACCACCACGGTCCTCCTACGTTGACGTGTTCGTACAAGTCATTGACGAGAACGACAATAATCCATACTTTATCGGAAACATCAGCAACATCACACTGAGAGAAGATACTCCAATAGGTGATTAGCAAACTTAAATCAACACTTAATATTTTAAAAATCTCAAATTCGTAATGGACTCCAAAATGTTTTAGCTTTAATTGTTATGATGGGACATATTGTAAGATTATTATAACAAGCTATCCACAGTATACTATAGAAAATTACAAAATACAGTACAAAGGGGAAAACATCAGTTGTTTTCATTTCATGAGCATGTTCGTTTTCATGAGACTATTGAGCAAAGATTACACTGAAGATTACTCGGATATAGGGGTAAAATGGAAATAATCTGTACCGAGCCATGGATTGGTCCCCAGGTACTTACCTTTTACTCATGCAATCCTCTTTAAAAACAGCCTTGCAGAAGCTTCAGATGAAATGTCCAAAGACCTTAAAAACCTAAAACCTGATCCCGTGTAAAATTGTGTTGAGGATAATTTAATTTGCCTTTTAGTTATTTACTGGGGAAATATGCCAACTGCAAGTAAAACATGGCTACCTTCCACTAAATTCCCACTAAGTTGATCTGGAGATTGTGACAATGTAGGGACATTGCCACAATCCCCAAATCAACTTCCTAAACAACTGCTTTGTATAAAGTATTCGCTTCTTTTTTTTTTACCGATTTGTATTATTTTTTCAGGGGCTGAAGTGACAGTGATTGAAGCTCATGATGCTGATTCAGGGGATTATGGAAAAATTACTTATTTACTTGACCGGATCTCTTCACTGGTAATTAACATAAGTGTGCAATTAAGTGTGCACTATAGTGTAAGCCAATTATGTAATACTAGCAGAGTACCCGTCCTTCGTACGAGGTTGGAAAATAAGTATAAATGCCGTTTGCGTTTGCAATGTGACAAGACACGGTTGAGACAATTTGCTTCCTCAAATTTACGGTATACTATAGTATTACACATCTACCATAGCCATAATGTTCTACCACTTCACCTACACAATAGAGAAAGATAGATTATTAAAAATACGCGAAATATCACAATTTATTCGTGAAATTAAAGACATAAACATAACTGTAATAAAAATCCTACTTTGACAGTTCTCGCATATCACAGTTTTGTGTTGATGAAAAAAATAATAGTGCTGCACCCTGTTGGTAAATCTTAAAAATTTTTAATGCTTTTGCATATTATAGAACTAACTATTTTAGTTGACACAGCTGGCTAAATTTGTTAATTCCCTTTAAAAATTTGAATACTCATAAGCTATTACCGTAGGTCTCATGGTAAGACCTGCACCCGGGACCGATTAAATTTTTCGTGTAGAGGTCCCCAGAGGCCAAAAACACCCATATGTATATGTGTGTCCTTTAGTACGATAACTCAAGCAAAAATGATCCGATTTTGATGTAATTTGGTATAAACGTGCAAACCTACATTTATTCAAATGAGTTCGCGAACCAGCATGATCGGACCATGGGAACGAGGGTTTATGGGGGGGGGGGGGTTTACGGAGAAAAAAAGAGCTATACTAAAGCGCTGTTATATGCCTAACGGTTACGGAGAAAATTAAAATAGTGTAATTTAAAATTCCCATGTTATTCTTATGGAGAAAATGAAAACTGTTGTAGTTTACTTGTTTATAGATATATGTTGATAAAATGTGACAAACTTATTTATTTTATCCTATTCTAGGGACGTATGGTAAAAAAAAAACTTTTTACCTTCCCCGTAGCAGCAAACCTAAGCACTCGTTTAATCTAATGTTATTTAAATTGGGAGTAAATATGTTTCTTATATATTTATGGAAATATTTTAGTAAAACTGTAATCAGACAAGTTGAAATTCGCTTAGTCTGCAGGTTTGCTGCGGCAGAGGTATTTACTTTTAACAATGTTCAAATATATTTCTTTAGAGTTTAATCTTAATTGAATTTAGGTACTACAGTAGTTTTTAAAAATTTGAACTCTTACTGTAGGCATAAATCTTTATTTTATTATTTTTTTAGGGAAAATTTCAAATCAACCCAGAGACAGGGGTGTTGAATGTGTCTGATCGTCTGGACAGGGAGGAACAAGCCTCGTACATTCTGATTGTAGAAGCGTGGGACAACTATCAGTTTGGCTACTCTAGTGGGGAGAGTAGAAACGCTTTCAAACAGATTGGGTAAGTTTCAGGGATCACTTTCTCTAAAAACTAGAAAATTACTGTGTTACAAGCTTTCAAGCAATATTCATTCTCTGTTATTCACCTGTATTGTCTGATCAAATATACCACCAAATGGTTTTCCTAAACTGTGAAACAACATAAAAACCCACTTCAGCCTCCTAGGTTCCAGAATTTCAGCCTATGCAACTTCACTAAGCCAGTGGGATTTATTTTATAAAGCAGTTTTGTGACCAGAATTGATTGGTCGCAAAAGGTCACCCTAAAACAACGAAGACACCCTATTATTTTCACAATGTAAAACCTGTATACTTCCTTTGCATTACTCTCCAAGCCACTAGATTGATATAGAACATGTTGCATGTTTCAGAGTGACTATTTTGGATGTGAATGATGAGCCACCAATGTTCACATCCCTCCCAGAGTCTTGTGTGGTTGTCACTGAGTTTCATGAGCCAGGAGAAACTATCTTCTCTCTCAAAGCTTCTGATGACGATGATCCAAACACTCCAAACGGCTGGGTCTCCTTCTCAATTTTGGCTGGCAATGAAGAAGGTAAAGTAATTGTAGGAATAACAAAATATTAAAAACGGGTTAAAAAGTAGAGTGGCATCTACAGATTACTATCTTATAATATTTTTCATGTTAATCTGGATGATGTGCTTAGGGTTCTTTACTCAAAAACAAAATTCCTCTCTATATTTGTAGCATATGAAAAGATGCCTTTTCTATTTGCTTGCCATAACATTTCTGTACAAACTAATACCTTTCATTTGAGCCCTCTCCTGTCATTCTACGACTTCCCAGAGACCCACAATTTTGACGCAAAAAATTGCCTTACATCATTAAATAGGCCTGTATAGATTAATGAATCTTAACAACTGTTTCAATTAAATAAGTTGGTTCTATGATTAATAGCATTATAAAGTTACAAGGTTTACCAGCAGGGTGCCACACTATTAACTTTTTTTGAATTTATGATAATATTTTATTTGAACAAAGTAGCAACAAAAAGCTGTGATACACATTGAAAACTGTCAAATACGAAATTGTTGTGGTATTTTGCAAATAAGGTAATTGTATTTTAAGTACATAATTCATCTAGTTATAGACTTTTTTCAAATTTTTTTCCAAAAATATGGAAATAAATAGGAATAGGTGTATTAATACTTACGAAGTCAAACCGGGCGAAGCCCGTTGGTAAAGCTGGTGTTTTCGTTTTGATAGAATAGAAAACAATTTTAGTTTAAGCTCAGTGCTGTACGGATATAAGGTATTTTTGTAAACAGAGTAATTAAATAGTAGTTTTCATCAATAGGAGTGAAAGTGGGCTCTTTATGGTATGCAACAGTCTTCATCAATTTTACATTTTTCTGAGTTTACATTTCTGTTTTTACAAACATAACTTGAAATATTGTGTAATAGGCAGCGTTTTCATAGTGTGTGTTTCAAATAGTAAACAAAATTTTATTATAATGTGACATGAATAGTTGAGGTTTGAAAAAAAAAATACCGTGTTTTTTCCTCATTTGAAGTCATCCAAAAACAATGATTTTGCGGACGACTTAGAGAACCAAAAACAGCTGTTTTCCGGACAGTATGAAGAAAAGTAATTTTAGTTACTCTAACATTATGGTTAAAATTTTGTATTCTGTATAGATAGTGGTTTTACCTCCCTATTTCATTGGGCAACAGTTAGTTTAGTTTAGTTGGCTGTTTCTTCATATTATGCGGCTTATGTGTTTTGCAGGTTTGTTTGAAATTGAACCACTTGACCACTGGTCAGCAAGACTTTATTCACCCAGCTCATTGAAAGCAAAATATGGAAATTATACCCTGGTATGTACATGTAAATTTCAATCATTAGCATAAACAAATAGATAATTGTACCTTATATTATTTTACTCATCAAACCAACGTAGCTTTAGATATATGTGGGGGTCTGGAAACCTAGTGTTATTAGTAACAGTTACATGTTAATCTTAGTTAGAATCATTGGGGTAGTCAAGTGGGCAGTTCACCTACTCCATGTGACTTTGTTTGGACAAAAAATTATCATTACTAAAATACATTCAGTGTTATAGTAATTACAAACTTATGAAAATTTGTTTTTCATGTACAGTATATTCGTAGATTAATTTTAATTTTATACTTTGTATGAAACGTGCTTTAGGGTACAATTACTTGATGCTTGATCAATAATTTGTCTTTATGAGTGAATGATTCAGATTAAAGCTATTCATATTGAGCTTGAACATTGTGAGAACACTGTAATATGGTTGGTAAATTGTCTACGATAGTTATTATCGTTATGTTTATGCCTACTCACTAATTATTTCACATTCTAGGCCATAAATCTGCAAGACCTTGGCACACCTCCAAACTCAGTTGTTGGCAATTTGAACATTTGTGTGACTGATTTCAACGATAACTCACCACAGTTCATCTATCCTCCTCAGAATATAACTATTCGAATTCCAGAGGTTTGTTAGTTGATCATATCCTTTACAAGCTTATCTTACAAAAATCATTTACCAAATAGAATGTAAAATATGTTTTTGAGCCCAAATGCATAAAATAATCCTGTAATCAAACATTAGCTGGGCTGGTATTACTATCCTACGTAAAGTCAGAAACTTTGATGCTGGGTTGAAAAAAGACTGAACTGTCCGTCCTTGATAATTGAGCTTTAGAAAGTACTTGTTTTACCTGTGCTTCAAAACAGATTGAAGATACAGAAGAGATGAGTGTGTGGTTCCTTAATCAATATTTCATAATTGTTTATTGTAAAAACAGTTACACATCCACCATTGATCATAGAGACAAAACTCAATCCCACTGCTAATTTTAATGAATCTGCTGAGTGGCAGAATTCAAACTAATAACTTTATAAAAATTTAAACATGGAAATCATACAAATTTAAAGGTTAACAAACAGTTGTAGATGAAAACAAATACAACAGCTGGAGCTGACGCATATTCAATAGTTGAAATCTAATGGAAATTTAATTAAGGTCCGTATCCTTACAAGAGAGTTCATTGGAAAACGAATACTATTGCATCAAGAGTGCTTTGCCAAATATTTCCTCTGTTTCTGCAGAACGCAACAGTGGGAAGTACTGTAATCACAGTGAAGGCGGTGGATGCAGACGTTGGGCCCAATGCAGCAGTGCGCTACAGGCTGCGGCAAGACCTGACAGGAGACTGGGCGACGTTCAGAGTAGATCAGGACACCGGACTCATAACTCTGAAGCAACCTCTCGACCGAGAAACTCAGAAACTGTACCAGGTAAGGAGAGGTTGAAATAAAAGAGAATTGAGCTAAACAAGTTTAAAAGGGCACAGTTGAAATACTACAACGCATCACCCTGAATCAGCCACTTTCTGAGACTAATGATTTAAAATAGTGTTTTAATTTAAAGAAATAATTGGCTAATTTTGATAATCTTTGAATATCTGCCACTTTGCGCAGGATCAACCTTTTGAAGTGCGGTTTGCGGCATTGTATTCTACTAAAAAAGACCTTTCATTTTATGTGCATATTGACCTATGCTCCCATTTAAGATTTTCTTCCGACTCCTTGTGGGCCGCCCCCTGAAGAGTTATTGGATCACTGAATATGTGTTAAAATAGAGTGTTATGCCTTGTAACTTTGTACCAAGTATTGTAGCTCTATCTACATTATTTTTTTAAATATTTAACTGTCTTCGGACTTTATTACCACCCTGTATTATTATTCATAGTAGGCCTAATACCAGTCATAATTTATAAAAAAATTCAGTAATATTCTTGAGGAAACACCCCATCTAATATATAAGTTTTATAAGGGAAAATTATAAATATTAATGAAACCCACTCGTAGAAGTGATTTAGAAAGTTTTGTGTTATGATTATTTTAAATATTTTTGTTCGGTACTGGAAATACCTTTTCTTTGGTTAGTCATCCACAAATTCCTTGTTCATTATTGGATCCAATATGGTAATATAGTCATGAACTATTTTTATATGAACTCGGGCAATTAAATTTTAAATTAAGAATAATTTTCTAAATGATGATTTGCAGATCCGAGTTGAAGCTTATGACCATGGCACTCCAACTCCTCTGTCTTCAGACCTAGATTTGACAATCTACGTCAAGAATGTGAATGATTACCAGCCCCAGTTTCTGGTAGAAGACTTCCCCGTCAACTTCACAGGTACTTTATCGGTTTAAACTAGGGATGGACGAGATTGGATTTTTAGTTCGAGACGAGACGAGACGAGATTTTTTATTTCTCATAAAATTTCGAGACGAGATCGAGACGAGATTTCTCTTCTCATACACAAAGGGAAATGCACGTTCAAAATTTTTACCTGATTTTGTAACATTGTTAGATGACTGTTTGAATACAAAAATAATGATTATAGGCAAGAATATTTACAATCTTTTATTAAATAACATCAGCATAACATTGTTTTATTAATCACGCCTAACTTATTAAAAATGCCTACGATTAGGAAACATGGTGATATCAGTTAGGATAGAGTTCAACTTATCCTAAAATAAAATAAATCATAAAATAAAAGCAATATTAATTTTTATAAAATAGTTACTTGTTTTGACTTTATAGTAATAAAACATTCCTCACACTGCTTACACTTAACAAAACTTCTCAAATGTTATTAAAGTAATATTATTAAAATAATTAAAGTAATATTTACATTAAAATAATTAATTAAATAAGAACGCCTTCGAAAAGGAAACGCAACTACAACAGCGTGTTGTAGTTGCGTTTCCTTTTCGGTACAGGAGCGTCCTGTATTGCGGGTATTGCATTGACTTTCTGCAGGCGTTTTTAATTTTTATTTTTTTTTATTTTTTATTCTCGTCTCGATAAAAATCTCGGCCAAAAAGAAATCTCGTCTCGTGTAACGAGATTTAAAATTTCCCAAAAATTTCCCGAAATTTCGAGACTTGACCATCCCTAGTTTAAACTTATGACAATTTGAGATAAGGACTAATTTTTAAATATGCAACCATACTTTCTTCATTAGACTAACAGAACACTTTATGGGGATAAAACAGCCCTTGGTTGCTCTCCTGTAGTCTCGAGGTTAAAATATAACTTACAAAATTTCAATTACGTAAGCCCTTAATTTCATTTAACATACATATACTTAAAAACAGCTCAAGGAAGATGAAAATTGCTTGTTTGAAACATTTGCCATAGTATATATATATGATCATGGCTTTTTTGATACCCAACAATAACTGATCCTTTTTACACTATTACGAAATTACAATTGTTTCTATTTTAGTTTCACTACAAGTTCATAGACTACTTCTGCTATATTTTTATAAATTTAAATTGTTTCATCGACAGAACACACAGCACCAGGCAGGGAGCGTCGTCTGTTGGCGGAGACAGTTGACAGAGATGAAGTAGACGAACTAGACGACCCTCGCACTCCGGTTTGCTACTTCATAGTGGCTGGCAACGACCACGGCTACTTCAACATTGAACCTCTCTCTCATGAAATCACTGTGAGTAGTGTCCATGCTGTTGTTTCTTCAAAGAAATATCAACCCTTTGAATTCATGGATGTATCAGTTTATTTGATTATGCCTATTTGGATGATGTTTTTCCTCATCCTATGAATGTAATAATCCAAATGGTTTTTAACAAGTTTTTCTGGTTACACAAGGATACGCAAGAAGTAGTAAAATTGGGTTGCAACTGACATAGTATTTCCTATTCACTCACACCATCAACATCCACTGAGCTGTCCACAGTTTATTGTATGTGGGCCTCTCCCACCAAGCTATGCTACAGACTGGTAAACACCTCATGAGTTGCAAAATAGACCTGAGCTGACAGAATTCAATCCCTCGTAGTTCTAAACCTGACTCAGAGGTTACAACTCATACAAAGTATAGTTTTCAGCTGTTTTTGTTGAGTTATACTAGCATGCATAGTTGTAAATGGAAGTTTCACAATTATGTTACTCTTTAAGGGTCGAAAAGAAGGTATAGTTTCATTTTTAAAGTTTAATTATTAAAGTCTGCAGCAGGATTTAAATACTATGTTGACATAAAAAATTTCATTAATGGTGTACCTAACTTATGTTAGTGAATAACTGAACTAAGCAATTACCAAACAGAGCTCTTAAATGCCAAAAGCTTGCTGTTATCTGGCTTTTTAGCAGAACAAAATGCACATCCCGCTCCCCTCTCCAATTTATTTATTTATTTATTGACAAACGGCTGACGCCAATACATAGGAGATTTAGATTGATACAATTTGAAGAAAAATAACAGCTGCAAAATGAGAAACAATTCAGAACAGTATACCAAGCAATAACATTTGACAACAATTCAGAAAAGTATAACAAGCAATAACATTTGACAACAATAATTGAACAAATAACAATAATAGCAACAATAAATACAAGTTAACAACCAATAACCAATTGACCAGATAAGTACTATATACAGACTGTCCCAAAAGTCCCGGACCGGTTTTATATTTTCTAAACGAAAAAAGATAAATCAATAAGATTTGGTACATCAACACCACACCTAAAAATCTACTTTCAACTATCAATTTTCTGTCATGGGTCCCGCAAGGAGTCAGAAGGAAATCTTAAATAGAAGCATAGGTTGACATGTACATCAAATTAAAGATCTTTACTAGCAGAATATAATGCTGCAAATTTGAAGTCAAACGGATAACTGAGTAAAAAATGGCAGCCGTTCAAAGATTTCTTAAATCTGCCATTTTGAATCTTTGAACGACTGCCATTTTTTACTCAGACATTCTTTTGAGCTTGAAATTACGGCATTGTAATCTACTAGTGAAGACCTTTAATTTGATGTGCATATCGACCTATGCTTACGCTGAAAATTTGCTTCCGATTCCTAGGGATGTGCCCCCTGAGGAGTAAGTGCATAATAGCAATGCAAATTAAATGAATCTTTGAACCACTGTCATTCTTGGCCCGGTTGTCCGTTTGAGTTGAAATTTGTGGCATTATATTCTGCTAGTAAAGGTGTTCAATTTGATGTACATGTCAACCTATGCTTCTGTTTAAGATTTCCGTCTGACTCCTTGCGGGTTGTCCCCATTATATGAAAAAATATTTATATTTCCTTGAAAAAGTAGATTTTTAAGTGTGGTGTTGACTGTTCATGTACCAAATCTTATTGATTTTTCTGTTGTCTTTTAGAAAATATAAAACCGGTCTGGGGCTTTTGGGACAGTCTGTATATTAGAATCAGAAGATTCTCAGAAACTATTCGGGTCAAAACATACTCAAGTATTATTTTTGTCTTCACAGGTAACCAGAGAACTGGACAGAGAGGAAGAAGACATGCATGTGGTGGTGGTTAAGGCAAGTGAGGACTGTGTCTCCCCTCCAGCAGTCAACAGCAGTTACTTGGACCTGAGAGACAGCACCACCCTGCGTGTGCTGGTGTACGTCAACGACATCAACGACAACCCTCCACACTTCGTCAAGGAGGTGTTCACCGGGGGCGTCACCACGGACGCTGACTTTGGCACGGAGTTCATGCAAGTCAGGGTGAGTAAGGAGATGTCGAGTTGTGTTTGGGCATAGAAAAATAGAATGAATACAGACCGGCAGCAGTGCTGCGGTTAGCATATGTTACTACACGGCACTCCTAGCGGTGGGCGCTGGAAGCTTCCTTTGACAGTCTATATTTATTCTATTTGTCTGGGTAAGAGTGTATGTAAGGTGTAATATAGATAGACATTATGTCATTGATATTCAGCTTAGAATACGCAGCAAAGTGTGTGCCTAAAATAATTGAATTAAAATGGACAGAGGAAGGATACTCTAAAAATGCTGAAAATATAAACAATCACAAACAACCAAAGTGAAAAAACAGAAATTTAAAGAAAAAAAAAATCTTTCACAGATGAAAAGAATCTGCTGTCAGTTGCGTTTAATTTAAGCATATTAAGTCCCCGATTCTAAGTTATATAAAATGTAAGTTATATAAAATAGTTATATTCTGTTCTACACCAAACAAGTGATAACAACTCAGTGTAAACTTGATAAACTAAGCCAGACATTTCTGATTTGAGACTGCACTGTGCATTTAACAATACTTTACTGCCATTAGTTCACTGCATAGATCATTGATGGTCTATAATGAGAGGCAGTTGAGAAAAAATTAAATAAATTGCCTACAACTTAAACAAGAGGATGGAAAGGTCTAGTGTATTTATAGTCAAAGTTTCAACTTTAAAATGTTAATGCTTCAGGCTGAAGACGCAGACTACGGACCCAACGCAGAAGTCCGCTACTACATGGCGGGTCCAACGCAGATGACACTGAGCGAGGGGATGGAGAATATACAACAACCACCCTTCCTGGTAGACCCGAGCTCTGGGGTAGTGTCCCTGAACTTTGACCCACAGAGGGGCATGAAGGGTTACTTTGACTTCAAGGTGAGGAGGATTTTATGTGTCTTGAGCCTAAATAATAGGGAATGTTGACTAATATAACAACAGACATATTTTTAAAATTTAAATAATTATGACAGCTATCAAAATATAGCTTTACAGATACAATCTATCTACTGAGAAACAAGAAGAGGCACTTTTACCAGGACACACCATAGGTTGGACAAGAGTTGGACAATCCCAAGAATAACATTTAAATTTCAAATTATGTAAGAAGTTATTGGTATTCACAACTTTAACGGCTGTAGTAAATTAAGCCATTTATTATATTTATTAATTTCTTTGATTGTAGGTAATGGTAAATGACTCAGGAGGATTGTCAAACACTGCAAGAGTCTTTATCTATCTCCTAAGAGAAGACCAGAGGGTGAGATTTGTGCTGAGGCAGCAACCCATAGAAATCCGGGAGAAGATTGACGTCTTCAGAGAGTAAGTTTCCTAGATCATTATGTGTGATAACTTAAAACCGTATATTGTTGTCACACATAAGTGAATGTATTTCTAACTAAATATATCATCATTTAAACAATCTTAAACATATTTTGGCGTGTTTCATGTCCACAAGTGTTTTGATGTTGACTTAAAGATTCTCTCTCATTTAAACTGACAACTGTTTTAGTTGATGGTAAATCTCACTGTCTAGTTTTTAATCTACAAATTTAATAAATAACTAAATAACTTAATGTTAGGTTGTAATGATTTTTAAAGTTAGTACAGAAAAAAAAGACAAGAAACAAGATGTCAATTGTGAGACGGATTTTCTCCTATTTAGCTCAATTACAACATTTGCATTGTAAAATAAAAACAAGGCAAAAAACAAATGAGCAAAGTAAATAATCCACTATATGAATGATATTATAAAAGATAAAATCAACCCTCAAAAGCGAAAAATGACTTCTCATAAAAATAAATGTTTGTAAGGGGCGTAATGTCTGAGATAGTTTCTTCTTCTTTTGGATGATTATGACCTATTGATTGTTAGAAGCAAATCAGCAAGAATCTCTGAAAAAGTCACACAGTTAATGTAAATATTCTATCGTTATTAGGTGCAAACATTAAATTACTGCTAATAAAAATAATTGGAACAAAATAATTGGCTAGTCTGAAACATAACGTACAAATTAATATTGCAGAGTACTGGGGAATGTGACTGGAGCGATAGTCAATGTAGATGAAGTGAAAGTTCACGAGACAATGGACGGACGGGTGGACAAGACAAGGTCTGATCTATATCTTCACTTTGTCGACCGATCTGACAACTCCATCATGGACGTGAGCAAGGTGCTGCGAATGGTGGACCAGAGTATTGAACATCTCGACTCACTGTTCAAGGTATTTGCTGCTTGAAGTGTTGGTCTATGTTGATCGATTTGAGGGGGTAAGCAGTGGAACAGCGATTCAGCCCAGGCGCATATTGAGCTGTGCGGCTTGGTCTGGGCAGCACAGGGCAGCATTGGGTAAAAAGTCTGCGCCACACAGTTAACATCGCATATTAGGAAGCAGTGTCAGACAGATCTGGTATGTCAACTAGTCAACACAGCGCAGGTGAACAATGTGATGCAGGTACTTGTGTCTCGGCCTCAAGTGCGCGCAGTTCACGTGCGGGACTGTACTGCCCTGTCCTGCGCTGCACCACAATATGCACATGTCCTAGCCAATATCAACAAAAACTGCCCTGCCCTGTGCTGCGCTGCGCTGCTCTGACTGCGTCTCAATATGGGTGCAGCACTATATTTTTTGCATTTATGACAACAGCTAATTAGAACTAAGCAGCAACAAAAAGCTGTGATATGCAATGAGAACTGTAGGATTGTTTACAGTGATGTTTTTGTTTTAGCGAATTTCCTTATAGGGAATTCAGCACAAGGATATTTTATAAATATTTTAAAAATACATATCCATCCAAAAAATATTTTATACATTTTAATATTATTTTTAAAATATATTTTTTTTATTTTTTAATAATATGTTAGCTTAACATAATAGTTTTAAAATATTTTAAAATGATTATTTAATGGTCTTAAAAATAAATGTTTAAAATATTTTTTATTTTTTTTTGTGAATATATTTACAAAATATTTTTAATATATTAAGACAAAATATATATTTTATGTAAAAGATATTTATAAAATATTTTATTTACCTAAAAATATAGCTTTTAAGAATATTTATAGAACTGTAAAAATATTTTATAAATAGCCTATTTAAATTTAAAAAATATATTTTGGTAATTTGTTTCAACCGAGCTGGGTAAAATATATTTTCCACACATTAAAAAATAGTTATTTGTGTAACTAGTGGTGAAAGTGGCACTTTGCTGCACACGAGAGCAATGTTTACGCACGAGCCGCAGGCGAGTGTGGAATGATCTCGAGTGCAGCAAAGGCCTTTTCACTCGTGTTACACATTATATTTTTCCTACAGTCACTATAAAGCATATAAATAATTAGCGTTTCAAACACTATGAAACACGTTTTTAGGTTCAGCTAGCAACACAAATGGTGCCCTAGAGAAAGTAGTACCCGCGGTCCATATCACTCCGCTATTTTTCCTCGGCAAGAAATGTGCTCCGCGTTTTGAGAATATAGTTCCGTATGTTTTTGTAATTTGAAGTGGTTTCCGCGCCTAAAAAAAAATGCTTAAAAGGTATTTTCTTGTTTATTAAGATCGTAGGAAGGTTTTAAAAACGTTTAAAAGAAAAGTCCAGAAAGTTCAGAAATACCGAAACTATAAACACGAAATGACAGGTTAAATCGTAGTTATAATAGTCAATCAGCTGCTCATAGTATAATTATCTTTAAGTGTTGCCAACCTATTTCCAAGCGTACACGGATTACGTGCATAATGGAACCACGCTGTTTTGTGTTGTTTCGTTGGAATCCTGATGTGCGGCAAAGTATAAACCGTACGGCAAAGTATAAATATGCAGCAATTAGCAGCTTTCTGTACTATAAACAGTACAAGGAAGCCAACTTTGTCGGGTGACTGTAGGAAAAATATATTTTGACAACAAATTTCATGTTCCTTAAAGAATTGTTTTAGGGCCACGACTAAAAGACTTTTTGAAATAATTAAAATAGCCTATACTAAAAATTGCATTTATATTAAAGTTGTCTTAAAATCACTCCAAAAATAATTCCTTTTTTCCCAAACAGTTAAACAATAAGGTTTAGACTATCTCGTAAAAGTAAACTTTTAAAATACCGGATGTCCACCCAAGTACTGTAGCACACATATTGTTGGCCCAACGTTGGGAAATGGTCGGCACGGTTGGGATCTATAGTAAATTGGATCTATAATAAATGTAGTCAGATGATGTTGTGATAGTTGTAATACTAGATACAGTGGGGAACACCTGCTTAACATATAATAATTATGCTAATGTATTTTTTTAAAAATTAATATTCTTTAACTAATTTGAGCGAATTTTTTAATAGGTAGTTAAACAATTTAAGGGGAAATATTAATTAATGTTAAAAGAATCTATTATAATAACATTAGTAATCTAAAGGTAATTAAATAATCTATATTCAAAAACCAGTATCCTCTCTAAATCCCAGAAAACAATTCAACTACTTGATGCCTAAACAGATAAACAGAATCATATTCAAAAATATTACAAGTATTGCGACATATTGCAACTGTCGGCTACTCTTTGACCACTTGAAAACACTCAATATCAACAAGCACAGATTGCTCAGAGGTTAGGTACGAGGCTCACAAACCGAAGGTATCAGGTTCGAGACCCGGTCAGGGCAGAAAAGTTGTATTCTATTTTTTTCAAAATTTGTTTTTATGAACTAATCAATTCTAACTAATCAATTTACTCAACTAATAATTAAGCTTTTCATATTAAATATTTATTATTTAAAATATTTAAAAACATTTTTTTAATAATATTTTTTGTAAAATTTATAAAATATTAAAACAAAATATTTTATTAAACTATTTTTAGGATACATTGGGGGTGGAATAGGATGCATTTTAAAAATATACATTAAAGATAAAAAAAATATATTTTTAAAATATCCTGTGCTGTCTGTTAGTAGCTAATTACAGTAGGTGGCATAGTAAGACCTAGGCCCGGGACCGATTTACTTTTTCATTTTGATGTCCCCAGAGGCCAAAAACACAATTCGTTCAAATTTTTATATATGTATATATACGTCCGTGAACGCGATAACTTGAGTAATTTTGTCAGATTTTGATGAAATTTGTTTTAAAGGTCTATGGCGGGATAAACTTGAATGAGTTCGCGAACGAGCATGATCGGACCATGGGAAAGAGGTTTTACGGGGGGGTTTTATGGGGTGAAAAATGGTTTTTCTCATTTTTGACCCTCAAAACCCAAAATTTCCCAATTTATCTCTTAACATTTTTAAAGAGCTTAAAAAACAAACAATTTAGTATATCAAAGTGTTTTCTACAATTATTGGTAACGGAGAAAATAAAAAATAAAAATAAAAATTCCCATGTTATTCTTATAGAGAATATTGGAAAATGTTGTGGTTAAAGGACAAACAAACAAACAAACATACATTGGATTTTATATACATAGATTGGAAAATGTTGTAGTTTGCTTGTTTATGGATATATTTTGATCAAACTTGGCAAATTCAAATTCATTTATTTTATACTCAGCTATTAATATTAAAAAACACACTTTATTAGTTTCCTTGTAGCAGCAAACCTAGGTAATCGTAAAACCTAATGTTATTTAAATAGATTTGATAGAAAATCAATTCAGACGAATGGAAATTTGCTTAGGAGGCAGGTTTGCTGCGGCGGGGGTATTTTTAATTTAATGAATAATTTGTGATATTGTGTGAATGTTTGATAATTTATTTTTTTCTATGGTTTAGGTGCAGTGGTAGAAAATGATGCTATGGTAGACGTGTTATAGTAAAGCATACCGTGAATCTAAAGACCCAAATTTTACAAAACCGTGTCCTCCCCCATTGAAAACGCAAAGCTTGAGTATAACTGCAATAAGCATTTTATACTTATGTTAACCCCGTAGGAAGGACACTCTGCTAGTATATATATATATATGTATTCCAAAATCTTTACTGTTTGCATTGACATAGCTATATTGTAATGTCTTGTGACACAAGATTTTTAATGTTTCCCGATCGTAGGAGTTCAACGTGCTGGACACCCAGGCTGCTGAGGCTGTAGCACTGGTGCAGGCTGGCAGCCCTGACAGTGTTGTGTGGCTCTGGTTGGTTGGCACCACTGTGTTCCTCGGACTCATGTTGGTAGTGGTGATCTCCATCTGTTTGTCTCAGAGAGCCTCTTACCAACGACAGCTTAAAGCTGCCACCATCACTGCTTTTGGTGAGAATTTCCTCAAAATCATAATTCTACACAAGAAACAACAAAATAGCTTTCATCAATGATCTTTGAATGAAGTATGTTCATTTTGGTTTTGATCCTTAAGGTTAATTTTTAAGTTTAGAACCAGTTACTGACAACTAAAACCAGGAACTTGTGACGGTACTCCAGGAATTATTTATTTTGATATTTGATTCAAACAATATTAATTTGTCCTATGATTCTAAAAATAGATTGTACCTTAATGATTCCAAAACATAAAGGTTTTTACATAAAAAGAGGTAGTACCTATTGAGTGTTTTGAAATTCTAAAATAAGGTTCTAGTTATGTTTAAATCAGTGTCATCACTCATTTGAACTATTCTTAAAAAAATCCCTAAATTAATAACCATTTATTGTAAGTTAAAATATTGTTGTTGTTGTTATTATATTACCAATTCAATTGGCAACATTACAGGACATACTAGGGGACCATAGCAGCAATCGCTGCTTTTTTTAGTATATGTAAACAAATTGAAATTAAATACACATGTTTTACACATTTGGTCACGGTCTTCCCCTAACACGATGCATTTCAACTTTGCATTACCATTCTAACCTAAAATCATTAAACATACAAATATGCAATGTTTACATCAGCTGGTATATTTTAAACAACTTATAGAAACTACTTCCTTCTGCTTCTTTCTGTAGCTCTATTAGAAAATTACTGGATCTTTGACGGCCTGTGGGGCAGAGCAGGGGTAATTTTTGAAATTTCTGATATTTTTCCCACCGTCCTTAGACCTTAAGCTTTAAAATGAATCCTCAACCTATTTGTTTACGGAATTAAATATATAGATTTTACAGTAAATACAAATGAAGGATGTATTACCGCATAAAACCAGCTTTTTATTTACTTTAGCCCATTTATGGTCTAATGATCCACAAAAGCACGTTCAGTCATAAAAATATTATTCTTATTTACTTCTTTAAAAGATGTTCATAAGTTCCAATGGGTGACGTTTCTATGTCGCTTATGTATTTTACAATGTAATTTTTATTGTAGGTTCGACAGAGTCTGACATGACCCGGGTGACTGGGTCTGGTCCGGGTCGGCTACCCAACACTAACATGCACAGTGTCGAGGGGTCAAACCCAATCTGGATGCAGGCCTACGAGAATGAGTGGTACAAGGAGGACGACTCAATGAGGTAATTATTTAGTAATCTGCATTATATTGTAAAAAACAATTTTTTATCCCTCCCCTCCAAGTTAAACCTAATTATTATTTGGGGTCTATGCAGAAACAAAGTTTTTCAAAGATTTCTTAAGAAGACATGGCAAACATGGAAAAAATCAGTAAAACAGAGTTATCACACAAAAAGAAAGGAATGGAAAGAAGAGTGGATACATACTTTTTAATACTTTACTTTAATACTTTTCAATGAAATGGCGACCATACAAAGTAGGTACTGTAAGCCAACTATGAATGGAGATGAGTGTAGGATGCGTGGCGCAATCTTGTAGTCTTGTTAGTGACTAAGGCCGACATATTCCTTAGGCACAGCTGTTAATTAATAGCCCATACAGCTAATGGCAACTAAGGGACCTACAGTTTATAGTGGAATCCGAACCATATTTTAAGGTTACATAAAGTGCTTATACAGTAGAACCTCTATAATCCCAACCCCCGTAATCCGAACGTCCACTAATCCGAACCCCTCATTGCTGTACTCTATACACAGAACAGTAAGTTCTTCATTGTATACTGTATTTATTGGTATAGTTACCGTAATTGTTTCTATTGTAATGTACCGTAGGCTACTGTTTATTCCCTATGTTTACTACTGTATTAAATGTATTTTAACATAACACTGTATTTTACTTTATAAAGCATTTTTCACTTTTCCCTAGCAATTGGTTATCTAAAAACAACAATATGTTCTGTAATCCGAACTATTCAATAATCCGAACCACCCCCGGTCCCAATTAGTTCGGATTAAAGAGGTTCTACTGTAGCAGTAACTGGTGTCTCGTCAATTATATATAGATAATTTATAAAAAAAAAGAATGGAAAGAAGAGTGGACAGAAAATCACACAGGATACAAGAGAGGTTTTCAGAAAAAAAACTTAATGAGGAAAATTATGGATGGTTTTGTTTTAGTGCTCTCATAAAGGAAACAATACATAGATAATAAAATAATAGTCAAATATAATAAGTTACATATAAATTATTCAATGACACCTTTGACAAATACAGTACCAAGAAGTAGAGTCTAATTCCCGCCCTAATAACCAGTTTAAGTATATAAAACCATAGATAAAACATACTTCCTTAGTAGATTTCTCATCCTGATGGAACAGCTGAAGACAATTTTATTGTTAGTTCTGTACGGTTTATGTAGAGGTCGTGTTTTGTTTACAATTTGTTTCCTGTTATTACAGCCATTTAAAACCTCGTTTAACCAAATAACACGATCTAATCATAAACAATAACTTGTCCCCTGGTTATATAACCAAACAGTAAAGCACAAATCAAGAAATTAACCCTAAAATAATGGAAACAAAGTTTCATCGACACTAGCGCCTTTGTGTCACGTACATGAACTAGACACGAAAAACGTGCTTCAAAATTTACAATGGGATGAGAAGTCTACTTGTGTTGGTTAGTCTATGATAAAACTTTCTTCAATTCTGATGTTGAAAACATGTGTGGTAGAAGGAGCTTGGAGGTGATCATAAACATTTGCACAATGTTTAAAAGTTTTTAATCTTTTAGCACGACTATAGTCATTCATCAGCCTCTCTTGAGATGGTGACCAAAGTTAGGGGAAACTTGCATGCAAATCCTGGTATGAATCGCAATGATCTAGGCCAGCTGGTCTCTTTCAATCTCACCTATTGTACAACATTTTTACTAATAATTTGAGTTATAACGTTTTGTTTTTAAAATGAAAGGCATATATAGTAGTTTTTTGTTCCAGTCAAACGTCTGAAAGAGACTCTCTGGATGAAAACGCAGTTGTGAGTGTGCAAACACAAGATGGAGGAGCAAACTCTTCATGCAACAGGTGAGTTGTGTTGTGCTTAGAGATATAAACACTCCTAGAATAGACTATAAAAAACAATTGAAATACCCCCGCCGCAGCAAACCTGCAGACTAAGCGAATTTCCATTTGCCTGATTGGATTTACACTAAAATGTCTCCTTAAAAATATCACATTTATCCCTATTTAAATAGAATCAGTTTAACACATACTTAGGTTTGCTGCAACAGGGAGGGTAAAAGTGTTTTTTATGTAAAATGTTAATAGTTAGTAAGAAATAAAAACATTTTCCAAATTTGGGCAAAATATTTTAATAAACAAGCAAACTACAACAGTTTACTTATTCTCCATAAGAATAACATGGGAATTTTAAATTTTAAATTTTTTGTAATTTTCTCCGTAACCATTAGGCGCATTATAACGCTTCAATATACTAAATTATTTGTTTTTTTAAGCTCTACTAAATAGTTTAGAAAGAAATTGCAAAATTTGATGTTTTTTGGGTCAAAAATAAAAAAAACCCTTTTTTACTCCATAAAACCCCCCATAAACCCCCGTTCCCATGGTCCGATCATGCTGGTTCGCGAACTCGTTCGAATAAACGTAAGTTTACACGTTTGTACCAAATTTCATCAAAATCGGATCATTTTTGCTCGAGTTATCGCGCTAACGGACACATATATATATATATATATAAATATATATATATATATATATATATATGAATTTGAACGGATGGTATTTTTGGCCTCTAGGGACATCAAAACGAAAAAAAAAATCGGTCCCGGGTCCAGGTCTCCATGAGTACTACGGTAATAGCTTATTCCCTATATGGGAAATTCGCTAAAATGGTAATTAATTATTTACCTGAAGAATTTAAAATTAAAACAGCACTATATTATATTAAACGTACTTATTCATAGATCTGCCATTTTATGGAGCAGTGGAAAACAATTTCAGTGAGATGATAACTGGACAGACATCAAAACCAAGACAGCAATGTCTTGAATTTGGAATCCTGGTGTCAGGAATTAAAATTTATTAGTAGGCCTACAGTTCATTCTAGTACTATACCGGCTCACCCCTTGCTTTGTGTAATAAGTTCCAAACACAACCTTTCAAGTCCTGTGTATACAGGCAAATACAAGGTTAAAATAAAATAACCAAAAAGGTTTAAAGGTTAAATACCTGTTGTACTGTCAATGACCAAAGTTTCGTACCTAAAAGGATCATGATCAAGCACTTACACGAACACAAAAACATTTTGTAAGTGTAAAATGTATTTGATGAATTTTCAAAACTCCAGATAAGTTATAAAAAGGATTTTTCCAACTTGAATATGAACTTTGAAGTTTTGGTCGCCGACAAATAAGTATGTTTCTGCCAGATACAAATATAGATGTCAACAGTGTTTAGATGTTAACTAGTAATTTATGTTCCTCAATTTCAAAACAATTTTAATTAATAAATAAACTAACTGTTTAGCTTGTCTTCTGGTATTATAACCATAGAGTAGAACTCATACTGTACAGTTTTCATTCAAACCAAAGAGAAACGCTTAGTTTAAACAAACACAATCCAATGAAGCAAACATGAAACAGGACAAAAATACTTCACAATGTACAGTACAAAAGAAACAGACATTTTCTTGCAGTATCAAATATCTTTTATTGTACTAGATATTTAACTACTGTTAAGGTTAAGTGATACTATATATTGAATTTTATGAAGGACAAGTGTATGGTGTAAGCCAGTAAAGTAAATTTCTTATACATTTACCAAGCTTATTCAAACAAATTGTTTCAGCCAAACCAACATAATAAAACCTGAGCGAAGGACAGTAAAGGAACAGAATGACCTGAACAGCAAAAGCAGTTCCTATCATCAGAACCTGTACCAGCATCTCGACAAGCTCAGCAACCCTCTGATTGCCAAAAAACTGGAAACAACAGAACTATAAAGTAGTTTTTGTAAATGTAAATCTTTCTCTTGATCTCTCTTTAGTTTCAACCAACTTTTTACAATCAGTAAAATTAACTAACAGCTATACACCACAGTACAACACGTCAAAATCGATTCAAAAGTAAACTTATTTTTGGTTGGTATAAATGAACAGCGTAATAGGAGATATTAGTGAAGCAGAAACCAATACACAACAAACTCATTTGAGGACAGAATTTAAGGCAGTTGATTGCACACAAAAGGTTCACAGCATTTAACCTAATGTATCCCCCTCTTTGGAGTTCCTGCAAGAATAGACTAAAACATGGTTATAAAACTGGCACTTGTTTGCTCTCAATTAATTGCCTGGAAGTATTTTCATAAGTGAGTTGGTTTACTTCATCCTCGTGTATGCCTATGCCAAATGTATTTTCCTAAAATAACTAATAAGACATAAGAACTGTAATAGTTAATAGTTTATATTTCCTTTTTTTAAAAGTTTGGATTAAATTTATTTAATGTGTTGTGTGATTCTTTTATATATAGTTACTATACAGCTGGTTTGTAAATTATCTCGTAACAACGAATGAAGTACTTAAATAAGAATTGATTTTACAATTTTTATGTATCTCTTTTACTTGCCAATCGATGTATTTTTGTACAATTTATTTAATACTAAAGTATAATGTAAATATAGTTTTTAAAATATTCAAATAATATTTATTTATGTTTCCTACATCCCAATAATGAATCTCTTGAACCAACTAAGTTTTGTTGTTGTCATAAATCAATTTATTGAAAGCTAGTGTACATTTATGTTTGTTTTCATTCTACGCAATCGTTGAATCAATTCCATCTTTACATAAGATTTGCAAATTTGACTACAGTGTAGTTGATTAGTTCAACACAGAGCATTGCCAGTGAGTGGCATTGGAAAGATAATGAATATTCGTCTATGGGTTAGTGTTGGTGTAATGCTCATGACATGTGCAATAGTGTTTAGTTCCAATACTGAACATCTGTTTTTGCAGTTGTTTAAGTACCTGGTACTCGCTCAGTATATACACCAGAAATTAGTAGTTTATTTTGCTTCTATAATTTGTTTCTTCTCTCAAAATGTGCTCTTGATAAAGTTATTGTGATTTAAAAGTGAAAGTAGGTTTTTTAGGGGTTACTCATGCGTATGCAAGTCTCAAAGGATTTATTTATTTATACTAAGGATGGGAGGAATATATTTGATAATTTACAATTGTCTTCCCCTCGTATTATGTGATCTATCTCTTCTCTTGCTACACACTAATGACATGCATTCTAGATATGAACAGGTGGATCGAAACATGGGCAAATGTAAGGCAAACGAGAAAGACTTTTGCTACGGAGGTTTTGCGAGGATTCATGAGATGGTAAAACACTTCAAGATAGAAGCTCAAGCTGTGGGAAGGTCAACTCTCTTTGTCAATGCTGGAGACACTTTCACAGGAACCCCCTACTACACTCAGTTTAAAGGGGAGCTTGCAGCAAAAATGATGAATACTCTAGACATTGATGTGATGACTTTAGGCAACCACGAGTTTGATGATGGAATCCAGCCTCTGGCTTCTTACATTGATAAAGTAAATATTCCTGTAGTCTGTAGCAACCTGGATCTGTCTCAAGAGCCGAGGCTTCAAACACCTAAAATAACTTCGTCAATAACACTCTCAGTGAATGGTACCAAAGTAGGAATTGTAGGTTGTCTTACCACCACAACAGTCAACAATCATAACCTCGGCGGTGTGAAGATTTTGGATGAAATGTCAAGCATTAGAAAAGAAGTAAGTAAGTTGAAGGATGAAGGAGTAAATGTTATCATAGCATTAAGCCATTCAGGATATGATGTAGATTTGAAAATCGCAAAATTAGTCGAAGATATTGATGTAATTGTCGGTGGACACACCCATACTTTTTTGTACTCGGGGAAAAAAATTCCGGAGCTAGAAGAACCTAGTGGACCTTATCCAACAGTGGTGACGCAAGAATCGGGTAAACAAGTTCTTGTGGTTCAAGCTTACTTTGGAACTAAGTACTTAGGGTATCTGGAGTTAAATTTTAATAGCGAAGGTGAGCTCAAGTCTTTCAACGGCTCTCCAATTCTCCTTATAGGACTTTTTCCACAAGATCCTGATATACTGCGAGTGTTAGAACCTTACAAGGAGAGGTTGGAAGGAAAGACAAATAAAATCATCGGCTACACTCATGTCTTCCTCGATAGTAATAACTACAAGTGTAAAGTATCAGAGTGTGAGCTTGGTAACTTGATCACGGACGCTTTTGCTGACTACATGGAGATGCGTTGTCCTTCCCTGCCAGTATCAGTGGGATTGATGAATGCTGGAGGAATCAGAAGTTCCTTTGATCCAATATCTGGAGGACACAACGGATCAATCACTTTAGGAGATGTTATGACAGTGTTACCCTGGGGAAAACCGATAGTTGCAGTTAACTTGACGGGACGAGTACTCTTACAAGTGCTGGAACATGCTGTATCTAGGTTTGACGAAATCAAAACATCAAATGTTCATAACTTTTTACAAGTTTCTGGACTTCGGGTCACATACGATCTGTCTAGAGAAGTCGGCCATCAGGTAACTAATGTTAAAGTACTTTGTAGAAACTGCACAATTCCATGGTTTAAGCCACTACAGCTAGAGACAACTTATGGAGTAGTTGTACCAGAACATTTGGTAAAGGGAGGGGAGAACTTCACCATGTTGGCTAACATCACTAAAGAATGTGTGTCAGAAGAAGTTGATTATACGATTGTGGCTAAATACATAGAACATTTTAGCCCTGTCAATCCGCGAATAGAAAAACGTATTGAAATGGAACAAGGAGAAATGGATGAATCGATTTTAATAATTTTATGTTACATCATGATAGTTCTTCTGGTGATTTTCATTTTCAAAGAGACATTATTCACACCAGTATATAGATTTTTTCGAAGAAGGTCGAATGAAAAACCAACAATGACTCCTAATGAGACTGAAGAATATTCAAGACTTATTACCTAGTAAAAAACCTTTACCATAGTATATGTAACCAGAAAATAAAATCCTGAAAATACCGTAGATTCTTTAAACTTATACATTTTCAAATTTTGTATCAATGTAACAATTATTACTATTAGATTTATTAACCCTTAAGTACTGCGTGGGGTGTTCAGAGAATCCCATTAAGGTAAATTTTGTGTTGCTAGCTAGCCTACATCTTCTACAATTTTGCGCTGCTCAGTACTTTCAGATGGGAATGTCTCAGATCATTCAAGGCCAGTCACTGGCAGTTTCTTCAATGCATAGAGTGTGTGTGTGTGTGCATTGGGGTGCCGACAGACCCCCGTGCGATTACTAGTGTTTTATCAACTGATTTTTTTAAACATGTGTTTGGTTTTAGTGTAAAATTAAAAACAATAATTTTATCTAAAGTTTATTTATTTCAAACTAGAGGTCGTCCAGTGGTTGAAAACTCAAAAAAAATGTAATGTACAGACTTCTCTATTTTTACCCCACGCATATAAATAAAACATGCAATGGGAATTCTTCAATTTGTTTTGATTTTATGTTTATATTTCGTCACCAGCGTAGCAATACATAATACCAATGTTAATTTTTTAAATTTAAAATTCATTTTTTGTGCTTATTTTAATTTATAAAGGGTTTCTGCACACCTACACGAAAATATCTTTCAAACAGTATGCGTAGATTTTCCCTACGAGTCACACGAGCTGAAAAAAAAGGTTTTAATGAAACATGCTTGCCTATTAATATATACTATTGTACATGTTGCTCAAATTCGAGCAATTGCAAAGTATTACAATTACAGGAGTTATTTCAAAACGAATAACAGTCATATTTATAATGGGTTTAAAAGAGATTACCGGTGTGTAACTCGGACCATGTTTATCCTTGTTATTGATAAACCTAAAGCATTTCGACCGGTTTTCTCCTTCTCAAAATGCCTCGCTGTACAGGCAACAAAGGTCATTGATAGAGGGCCAATTGAGAATGAAAAGTCGTTTTGGGGTAATGAGGGCGCATTTGTAAACTAATAGTTGAGATTGTCCAGGGTCAGGTGCTGACTGTGATGAGTTAAGCCTATTGCACACCACTGTTCTGTAGCTATGGTCGTTATCACAATTACGCCTCTTGACTATGTTTCGTTGTCGTTGCGTCAGAGGCATTTAAAAGAACAAAAAAAATAAACAAATTATAGCTACACAAAACAACGATAAATGCACAAATTTAAGTTACAATCATACTAACACGATCCGTCATAGAGACACAAAACAACGATAAATACACAAATTTAAGATACAACCATACTAACACGATCCGTCTTGGGGGTTACGTTTACACAAACTCAAGTAGTAAATAAATGCACTCAATGGGTGTCATATTGTATTGAAAAATAAATAACAGCAATTAAATTATACAGCTGATCGAAATGTAAACAATTATGTTCTTCATAGGGATAACATGGGAACTTTCAAAGCCACAGGGGCAGAGCCCAAGTGACTTTTTCAAAAATGTAAGGCCAGTTTGCAAATCTACGCGACACGCTCTTTCCAATGAGACGTCAATGGATAAAATCGGTTAAGAAATAGCGGAGGAGTTCAACCGACAAAGTTTCATGTAGCGTATTAATTATATAGATTAATATATCTATATGTAATACGCTAGGCATATTTTTGTCATAATTATTGTTTTGAAGCTGCTATGCATCCGTTTACCAAGTTTGAGGTGTCGTTGGATAGGGTGTGGCACGTAGATTTGCCATCCATCGAAAAATCTTTGAAATTCCATCAGGGCTCTGCCCCAGTGGCCTTCAAAGTTACCATGTGATCCTTATGGAGAAAATGTTTGTTTACAATTTGAACAGATGAATACTTTGAAATTTACACTAATATTTGAAACAGCTTGTTATACTTAAATTGAAATAAATAGAAACATGACAAAGATTTTGAAGAGATAAAAATGTACACTGTTTTTTTTTTGTTTTTTTTACAATAATTGGCGTTTCACTGTAAAACATATCATTAGGGTTCAGTGAATTTTAAAGTGAACTGACAGTACAGCAGTTACACATAATTGTTGTGACTTTTAAGATCTTTGTTTTACAGAAACTAAATAAAAGGATTATATTTAATGAGTGGAGAATATTAATATCCAAGGAACAATATATTATATGTAATAGTATCTATTGCAAGAGATGGCATATACATTCTTCTGTATTTATGATAAGTGTACAAGAATAATGATCTGAAGTTATTGATATTAGTTATAAACATGTTTTTCACCTCCAAAAAGAATATTTGATTTTAATTATATCGGAAGTTAGGAAGGGTGGGTCCCAAAGATTCTGGAAAACATCATTATTGTGTTAAACAGGAATCTTGATATGTCGTCAGGCTTGATTAAGGAAGGTAAAGAAATAACTTTTAAAAACACGTGGAGGAAATGTACAATAAAAGAAAAGGAGTCTTCATGAAATTATCAGGACATGCCAGAGAAAATAGAAGCATGACTGTGAAACATTTGATGACGCTTAACAAAGGGTGTTAAGCCATCAATGTTTTATGAATGCAAGTTCTAGGGTAAGGATGTTAGGATTGAAAGATTTTAAACTAAACATTTGAGTATGCAAAGAAGAGTTTTCATGGCAAATAAGTCCCAGACTTCAACCAGAGGTGGTGGTGAAAACGAGGGGGTTTCCTAGAAAGAAAGAAGATTTATCACGGGACCTGGCAAATAAGTCCCAGACTTCAGCCAAAGGTGTTGGTGGGAAGGAGGGTTTGGTTTATCATTTAGGTTATCATCAATTAATCAAAAGAGAATCTTCTACTGACTTTTACAAAAGAAACTGCAAAAACGGCAGGTAAACTGCGAACTCAATTAGGACTTTTACCATCACCAGCTTTAGCAACAAAACCAAGAAACGAGAAAACGCCAAATAAAAAAATCAATACAAATCCTTCTTCTCCTTCGTCTAAATTGCGCACGATTTCGTGCGCCAGGTTCTCTAGTTGCCTATTAATAGATAGATGGAGTCAGAATAAAGACAGTCAGCTAGAATCTGATGTGCCTGAAACACATGGAGAGGATTGCAAGGGCTGTTTGCAGCCAGAGCAAGTTCAATCAGACTAGTATGTAAAAAGAGTTATTTTTTAAATATTTTCAAACAGGTTTTTATTTTGAAAGTTTTTACCAGTAAATATATTAGCCTATTAGTTCATAATACATATGTTTTGGGGGTGAAATTTTGTGTCTGGCTGGCATTTTTTGATACCTGAAAAGTAGTTTATTTACCTCATAAATCTGTGGTAACTTTTGATAAGTATAATAAGCTAATTACTGGAAGAAAAGTTAGTAAAATACTTATTTATGTTAGGTTATTCCTCCTAATTGAGATTGAAGAGGACAATTGTTTTTTCTCAGATATTATTATTATTTTTTGTACTTTTTCTACTTAACTGATTGTTTCATCTAAAAAATAAGTACCTAAATAAATATTTTTTAAAAATTACTAATAAAGAGTAAAACTGGTTAAATTTAATAAAATACTGTCAAAAATATATCCATAGTCATGTTTCATTTTCTTAATCATAACATAGAAAAAAATATATATAGACTGTCAGCCGTGCTGTGGTTACCATAGGTTCTGGCGCACACCACTGGTAGCGTGGTGTAGTTACTTAGTGCGTAAGGCCATAACTACATAGCGCTCCTAGTGGTGTGCGCCAGAACCTATGGTAACCGCAGCACAGCTGACGGTCTATATTTAATTCTTTTTGTCTATGATCATAACGAGATACTTTTCATTTAAAAATATAAATATTTATAAATGGGGGTCCGACAGACCACCGTTGTATCACAAAAAAGGGCGCGAGAACTTAAGGGTTAAAAACTTAGTATTTTGTTATTACCCTTTAACACGTTCGCTGCTGATCGCTAGATGCCGGGACGGCGCCAGGAGCTGAACTAACGCTCGGCTGCTGCGTGACATTGCCGCCGATACACTGAATTACAGTAAAAACAACAGTAGTTATTCTGGATGGCAATGTTCTGCAATAAAACTGGCTTTGGACATAGTACTAAGTGATTCTGATGGATAGCAGCACTACCCAGGTTACAGTCGGTAAAGTAGTGTCGCTATATAGCAGGAAAGAGGGAAAACAAAGCCCTGTTCCAAACAACCCTGGTGGGGATTTTGGGAAACTATATTTTTTATTGTCAGAAAAGTACGTCCCCATGAGCTGCAAAGAAATATAGGACGATTGTGACGAGCTGGCTTATCCATAGCAACGTTAAACAACAATGAATGGTGACGTTCCGGAACGTTTCTAGCTCCTGGCGCCGTGGCCCGGCTGACGTTCCGGAACGTCTGTAGCAGCGAACGTGTTAAAATAAAATACTACAATACTTTTACACTGCCAAAAATATTATTTCATCATCAATCATGGGATGAACACATCATAAATATTAGTAGGATATATATGAATTTGAAGGGATGGTGTTTTTAGCCTCTAGGGGCATCAAAATAAAAAAGTAAATCGATCCCGGGTCCAGAGGTCTTACCATAAGACCTAGAGTAAAAGCTTACTGGGGAATTCGCTAAAACCAATGGGAAAAAGTATTCTCACTAAATCTGAAGTTCTCTTCAGTATTTCTATAATTTACAATAGCCCACTGAAATACTGAAAATCTCATATGAAGCTGTTGCAAGTCTATACCCCCTGAAAAATGTGATAAGAAAACAAACACCAGAAAATTATTATGAAAAATGTTTTATTCTTCCATTAAAAATATTTTTTTCTTTCATTAAGATAACAAAAACATTAAAACAAAAATATTGATACATTTGTTAAAACTATTCTGTACATAAATTATTCTGTACATAAAATGTTCTGTACATTAAATGATTTTTCCAATCAACATAGAATCATTAAAAGTAACTAAAATAAAAAATTGTTAAAACAATTAAAATTCTTTACGAAGTAGAATTGTAATAGCTTGACAGTAGGCTAGTGTCATTGTTTCTGATTAACAAAAACATACAAACCTCGAGTTTGAATTTACAATCAGCACCTATAAACTTAAATGATAAGCTGCGGTTACACTTGCCCTGGTTACACTTACCCCATTATTATTAAAAGTAATTCACAGGGTAACCTCAATTCGTCTTTGACTAGGATAAAGGACTCAATTTGTTATTTAAATTTAATTAGAAAGAAGTAGTAATAGGACTAATGCTAATCAAAATCCAATAAGTAATGACAAGAGTGGACAAACTGGCTGCAAACGCATCAAATATAGCTGAAGCGGAAATAAAGTGTGTTTTATATTTCCTTTGTGGTAAAAAAAGTAGGTACTCCTAATACTCATATGTAGTAGCTCCTAATGAAATAATCTGCCCCTGACC